CGATTGTAATTACAATAAACTAAACTTAAAGTTTTAAGTCTACAAATATACCTACAAACAAAAACACCCGCCGAATAAACACCTTTCAACTTAAACTAAGCCAATATTTAAAAGTTTTGCTCTTTGAGGCGCTAATAAAAAGGATTAGAATAAATAGATTACACAGGTGGCAAACCCCATATCATTTAAATATCCTCAGAACGAAAAACAATAAAAAAAGAAAAATTATTTTTTCGAGTTACAATTAAAAATAAAAATAAACAACTGCACTTCTACCACCTTCTTCTACCATCTTCTTCTTCTATTCAGTCACCTCTCCAGGCAATCCTTTTTACAATAAAAACAATTTTATTTTAATCCCAATATTTGAGAGGTTATTATATTCAGATAAAAACAAGATCAATCTTTTAATAAAAATTTTATGTCTGGAAAATTTGAAAAATTATAGTACAAAATTTTAAAAGGAATAATAGTGCAGGTGAAGAAAAAGCCAACTCAAGAAAAGTTTTTCCGGAAAGCTCAAACTTAAAACTCTATCAATAATTGCAATTACAACTCGAACTTTACGGAAAAATACATATATTTTCATACTCTTTAGTATTTTCCGGAAAGTTTTTAATTTTTCCGGAAGGTTATATAAATTGTATTTTACAACTTTAACGTTCCGGAAAATCAAGTTCTAACCTTTCACAAATTGTATTTTTACAATTCCAACTTTCCGGAAAGTTGTTAATATAATTACAAATTCCAACCTTAATTGTATTTATTTTACAACTTTCCGGAATAATTTTATTATTTATTTATACTCTTCCAGTAGCTTCCGGAAAGATTTTAATTCTTCCGGAATGTCCGGAAAGTTGGTGTTGTAATTACGGAAAAATATTTTATACTTTTTAATAGTTTCCGGAAATATTGTAATTACAACCCCAACCTTTCCGGAATTATATTTTAAAAATTCCAACTTTCCGGAAAGTGTTAATGTATTTACAATTCCAATACTAATTGTATTTACAACACCAACTTTCCGGAAAAAATAATGTCTTCATTATTTCCTCAAAATTCACTCCAAAATTATTTTAATTTTCCCCCAATTTTCTCTAAAACGACCTTCCTTTATTAATTAATTATTTGAACAGATTATTAGCTCAAAAATGTTCTCCTCCAATGTTCAACACATACATATTTTTCATTTTTTTCATTTTAGTTTTTTCCCATTTATGTAATTGTTAGCCATCATCTTCTCATCACACCCCCTCTTCCGATTTAATACAAGTTCCACATTTTTACCCTTCAAAAGCATGTATCCATAAGATCAAAACTATTGTTTTAAATGTTAACAATTTTAGAATAAATTTAATTAAGAAAATTTTAATCTTTCCGGAAACTTGGGAAATGTTTTCGAATTTTCCGGAAAAATTAGACATTGTTTCAGGTAAGTCTATTAATTTTCCGGAAACTTAAAATATTTTCCGGAAAGGTAGGAAATGTTTTTAATAGATTTTACAATTTTCCGGAAAGTTGTAAACACAAGTAATAAATTACAAAATACTTTCCGGAAAGTTGTGAATATATTTAAATAAAATTACAATTCCGGAAAGTTTTAATTTTACAATTCCGGAAAAATAAGAAATATTTCTTTCCGGAAAATAAATAGAAATAATAAATGACCAACTTTCCGGTAAGTTTATTATATTTTCCGGAAACTTGATATATACTATATTACAACTTTCCGGAAAAAAATTAATTCTAATAAGAGGAAAATTGTAAAAACATTTTTACAAATTGTAAAAACATTTTTAAAAATTGTAAAAACATTTTTACAAATTGTAAAAACATTTTTAAAAATTGTAAAAACCTTTTTACAAATTGTAAAAACATTTTTACAAATTGTAAAAACATTTTTACAAATTGTAAAAACATTTTTACAAATTGTAAAAACATTTTTACAAATTGTAAAAACATTTTTACAAATTGTAAAAACATTTTTACAAATTGTAAAAACATTTTTACAAATTGTAAAAACATTTTTACAAATTGTAAAACAAAGTTTGTATTTTTCCTAAACACTATTTTTGTATTTTAGTTGATGTTTAGGGTATTAAATCTATTGAACCTTTTTCCCAAACAATTCCCCCCAAAAAAACACACAATAGTCACTAATCTCGCGCTCGATTTGCTGCCCGCCAACACAACTTTTTTTAACGCTTCTCTTCTCTCCTCAACCTGTCACTGCAACACAGCTACTAAAAAAAATTTATTTTTATCTCTTTGTACAAACCCGCCTTAGGGCTCTGGCCGGTTTAACAAGTTCCTCGGGGCTTTTATGTCGCTGCAATCGGTGGGAAAGGAAGAAGCAAACAAACACACATTTTTCATTGAGTTGGGGTTGAATGATTTGTTTTTTTGTTTTTTTCTACTCAATCTTATTTTAAATTTATTTATTTGTTTTTGAGACAAATATGGGGGAAGTAAGGTCAGTCTGTCTATTAGCTATAAAATTTAAAATATTTATTTACCAAATTTATATTTTTACAATTATAATTAAAATTACAATTTATGCAACATTTTATTTACAACTCCAAATTTCCGGAAACCCTCAAGTTTTAAATTCAGTACTCTATTTACTCGATTAATTCCCCGGAGGAATTAATGTCTCAACATATTCGTGGAATGGAGAATTATTTGAGGGTGGAGAATTAATTCAGTAAATACGTGAATTGTAATTTCAACTCAAACACTTTAGAAATTTTATTTTTACAATTCATACTTTCCGGAATTTTAAAATTACAATTTTCCGGAATTGTAATTTATTTAATTTATTAACCACCAATTAAAATTACAATTTAAAATTACAACTTATTTGCTAATCCAAGTTTCCGGAAACCCTCAAGCTTTAAATTCAAAAGTATAATTGTAATTACAACTCCAACCTTTTCAAGAATTTTATTTTTACAATTCCAACTTTCCGGAATTATAAAATTACAATTTTCGGAAATTATAAATTACAACCTTTCAGAATTTTAATTTTCTATAAGAATATTTACAACTTTCCGGAAAATTGGCGCACACTTAAACTAATTAAAATTACAACTTTCCGGAATTGCAACTTTTTTATATTTCAGTAGTATTTTGTAAAATGTTTAAACTTTCCGGAAAAATTGCAGAATTAAAAAAAACATTTCAACCTTTCCGGAAGACCGGGGAACTTTAGGAGAAGAAAATAGGCATATCTTTATCAGATTTTTAATTAATTTAAAATTTTCTCCTTAAGAAACACGTCAAAATTTATTTTTTATTTACTAACATGAACAAAAAAAATCCATAAAAATTAACAAAAATCCCTACTATTGTCCGAAAAAAAAGTTGAAGTGGACAACAACAACTATAAACTAACCACCTGACTCGCAACTACAATGGAAAAAAATATTTAGTAAAAAGTACAAGAAAAAAAGGTGAAATGATCCCCTTTGATTTGTCCGATCCATTCACTTTCTCCCTCTATTTTTTAATTTTACTGACTGACCTTTACTTTTTAATTTTTTGTACTTATTGAGTGGGCAAAAAAGGGACTCTAAAATACAGTCGTCGACATAAAGATAGGGACAAGAGTAATCTAAATAGAAATTAACTATTTTTCGGTCAAAAAATACGTTCTATATATCAATCGAAAGCTCTATTCGTATCTCAGTTGACATGTTTCTGCATTTTTCATGAAAATGAAAATTGGCCGAGATAATCCGGATCTGCCGGATATACCAAATCCCACAGCCTCGGAAAAAATTTTCGGAAAAAATCTAACAAACCCATTTGATAAAGCATATTTTTGTGAGTATATACCACAAAACCGCTTAAAAATATCTATTTCCGGTCCAGAGATATGATTTTTTGAAAATGGCATTTTTCCCTTAAAAATTGAATTTTTTGCAAAAATAGACGAAAAATGCCATTTTCAAAAAATCATATCTCTGGTCCGGAAAGAGATATTTTTAAGCGGTTTTGTGGTATATACTCACAAAAATTTGCTTTATCAAATGGGTTTGTTAGATTTTTTCCGAAAATTTTTTCCGAGGATATAGGATTTGGTATATCCGGTAGATCCGGATTATCTCGGTCAATTTTCAATTTCATGAAAAATGCAGAAACATGTCAACTGAGATACGAATAGAGCTTTCGATTGATATATAGAACGTATTTTTTGACTGAAAAATAGTTAATTTGCATTTAAATTACTCTTGTCCCTATCTTTATGTCCACTACTGTAAATAAAACTTTGTTTTTACCTTAAAATTAAACTTTCCGGAAACTTAAAATACTTCCGGAAAAGTTGGAAATGTTTTTAATAAAATTCTATATATTTTCCGGAAAGTTGTAAACTTATTTAAATAAAATTACAATTCCGGAAAAGTTGTAAATTGTTACCACATATTTCCGGAAATTTGTAAACATTTTACAAAATACTTTCCGGAATATTTAAAGAATATTACAATTCCGGAAAAGTTGTAATTTTAATTAGTTTAAGTGTGCAACAATTTTCCGGAAAGTTGTAAACTTAATAATTTATAAAATACCTTCCGGAAAGTTGTAAATATTCTTATAGAAAATTAAATTCCGAAAGGTTGTAATCTTAAAATTCCGGAAATCTTTAATTTTACAATTCCGGAAAGGTTGTAATTTTAATTAAAGTGTGCGCCAACCGGCGCCAATGCACACATACCATAATAAAAGGAAAGTATTGTCTTCAATAACATTTATTATTCTCTTTATTATTATTATTACTCTTTTTGGATTGATAGAAGGCCAACGGGTTAATGTGACGGTTTGAATAAATTTTAAAAAATATTTTTTAATTAAATATTATAGTTATTCACAGAATCACAATGTCCCTTCTGCACTCGGTTGCTTAGGCAAGTTAAAATTTTATTTTTTCTTCTTTAATTAATTGATCACCTCCTTCGTTTTCAACTCTAATCCTTTTAAAATAATTTTTAAAAAATTAAAAATTAAAAAAAATTAATTTTCCCCCTTCGCAGAGAACAAATGTGGCAATTTCACATTAGAAGACCCGGCATAATGAATTTACAAATAATTCCTTTTGGGAAGGGAAATTGTGAATTTACACGAGACAGGCGGTCAGTCAATTAAAAATGTTTTTTGATTAAAAATACCGTATTTCTACTAATAGAATGCCCCTCTCTAATAGTATACCCGTCTCTAATAGTCTGTCCATCTACCTCTCTCTAATAGAATGTCCCTCTCTAATAGTATGCCGCTCTCTAATAGTACCCCCTCTCTAATAGCATCCCCCTCTCTAATAGAATGCCCCTCTCTAATAGTATACCCCTCTCTAATAGAATGACCCTCTCTAATAGTATACCCCTCCCTAATAGAATGCCCCTCTCTAATAGTGTGACCCTCTCTAATAGAATTCCCCTCTCTAATAGTATACCTCTTTGGAAGGTTATTGAAAAATAGAATGCCCAGGCATCAATTAAAAGAAATACGGTAATCTCTCCTTCCAGCTTAATTTGTAAATGTATGCATGGCCCAACAGAATGTGATTTAAATAGACTACAAAATTGTGCAATTTCTTATTTCCCCAAAAGACATATTGGTCTAGTTATTTGTATCCAAGGATTGAAAAATTTGGAGGAAGCTTACCAACGTTGCCTTTCTCGTCTATCTCCCCGCACCCAGTTTAGACTGAAACAGTGTGCGCAAACACAAACGGGAGAGGTTTGTAAACTTGAATTTATTTTGTAAAAACTTTTTTTCAGGTTTTAAATTATTATTCTATGTTGAATACACATAGGTAAGTTTAATTAAACTTTAAAACTTTAATTAATTAAACTTTCCGGAAGCATATTAAAATAAAAACACAAAACTTTAATTAATCCAACTTGAACATTCCAACCTTCAAGAAAATAAAATTAATTACAACTTTCCGGAAAACTTAAAAACAAGTGAATGTATTTAGAAAATACAACTTTCCGGAAAAATAAAATTATAATATAATTTTCCGGAAATATAATATAACTTTCCGGAATTAATTAAATAGACTACAAAATTGTGCAATTTCTTATTTCCCCAAAAGACATATTGGTCTAGTTATTTGTATCCAAGGATTGAAAAATTTGGAAAACTTAAAAAAAAAACTTAAAAACTTTACTTTAAACCTTCCGGAAAAACTTACCGGAAACTTAAAACTTAACAAAACAAATATTTTAAGTTATCCGGAAATTTTAATTTCAAATTGTAAAAATAATTAAAAATACAACCTATGTATTTTCCGGAAATATTTGTGTTTTCCGGAAAAATAATATATTTGTGTTTTCGGTAAATTCCAAAACACCTACATACCAACTTCTGAATTAAAAAATTAAATTAATTTCTAATAATTTTTTCTACAGAGCGGGTATAAGAATTTGGCCAACGGCTTATATTAATGGATATTTTTTCGATCGAAGCTATCCTATGGAGGTTGAATATTTTCAAAAAAATTAAATATTTAAAATAATTTTTTCAGACAAAAATATGCGAACACACAGATTGGTGCTAAAAATAAACTTGTTTTTTTATTGTCAGGATTTTCCCTCAATTTTATTATAATTTAAAAGCATTAATTTTGTACGCAATATATTTTTATTTGTATTTTGTTGTATGTTATTGTACAATTAATAAATGTGATCAAGTTTTAAAAATACAATTGTATTTTTTCAAGTTTATTTTTAAAATAAAACTTTTCCAACTTTCCGGAAACAAAACACAAGGAGAGAAATACTTAAAACTTTCCGGAAAGTTACTTAGAACTTTAGTTAAAACTTTCCGGAAACAAAACACAAGGAGTCTATTTAATAAAATACTTAAAACTTTCCGGAAAAACTTTCCGGAAACTAAACAAATATTTTAAGTTTTCCGGAAATTTTAATTACAAATTGTAAAAATAATTAAAAATACAACTTTCCGGAAAATAATTACAAATTGTAAAAATTAATTACAAATTGTAATTACCTTAATTATTTTAAACTTTCCCAAGTAACTTCCTCAAGTTATATTTTTTCTTATATTTTTTATTACGCCATACTTACATATTTAATTATTAAATAAAATTACTAGCAATTATTGTCCAAATCATCTTCCTAAAAAATATATGAGTGGACTTAGTGCCTCATTTTTGTATAAATTTATTGAAGCAGAATTGCAGCAATTATAGATGGAATGACAAAAAAATAAAGTAAAGAGGCGACTGGATGGATGACCATTCCAATAAAAAATATACTTGAGAAGAACTTTTAATCTTTGTAGTAAAATATAATTAACGCCTAGTAATTATTAGTTTCTGCTTCTCAAGTTGCTAACATAAAGTTAAAGCAAAGGATGTTTTATTAATACAAACTTTCCGGAAAAATATTTGCAATCCGGAAAATAATTTATTTAATATAAGGATTTCAAAACCTTCCGGAAAAATAAATTAAAGTCCGGAAAAAATAATTTATAATCCTGAAACGTTTACGGAAAAACAAAGTTACAATTTAGAGATCTTTCCGGAAAATAAAATACAACTATGGAAAATTTCCGGAAAACAGAATTACAATCCGGAAAAATACAACTTTCAAAAAAAACAACTTTTAAAATACAACTTTCCGGAAAATAATTATTTTTACAAATTGTAATTTGTTTCCGGAAAGTTTTAGAAATGGTTAAGTTTAACAAATTATTTTCAACCTTCCGGAAAATAATTACAAATTGTAATAATTATTTTTACAAATTGTAACCTAGGTAGTATCTTATTGTAACAATATATCAATCTTTCCGGAAAAAAATTACAATCCGGAAAAATAATTATTATTTTACCTATTAATATATTTACAATTCCAAGTTGCAACAAATGAAGCGCTTATTATTACTTGCCTTAAAATTCTTAACTATTATCTTCACCTATTTCCACACAACAAACGCTGTCAGTATTTTACAAAATAAATTTAAAAAAATTTTAAAATTAATTTTAAAATTTTAAAATAAATTTTAAAATTTTAATTTTATTCCCTTTCAACTTTCAAGTGTCTCGCAACCGGAATTTGTTGCTGTGGGATTACCTGTATGCCTGCCCCCGCCATGGTGTGTAATCCAGCGAGTTGTCAACCTGGCTATACTTGCGGTTTCTAGAGGAGAATAAATAAATTTTCGAATTTAAATTTAAAGGACATTATGGGTGTGCAAGGAATAAAGCAAGATCTGCACTTACCAAGAAGGTAAAAATTGAAAAGATTTTAAGGTACCTATGTTGTTTCCCTCCCCTATGTCGTTTCCCTCCCCCACTCAGTTTTCTTCAGTTAATTTTCCCTATACTGACATGAATCACTTATCCTTCCTCCAGAAATGAGGTGAATTTATGGAAGGATTTATGGAAGGAAAAAATCCTGGTCATTATATCCATTCAAAAATGAGTGTAGGGGAGGGAAACTACACAAGTACAGAATTTCTTCTAAAATCAAAAAAATTTCTAGGATGGATTAATTGTCTCTGTAGACGAATATGTTAATAAAACATTGTTAAATCCAAAAAGAATTATTTTCGATAAAATTAAAGAGAAAAAATATTTTTCTGAAGGAAAACAACAGGAAGAATACGAACTGGATAAAAATACATTTTTGAAATTAACTGTAATTTTAAAAAATTTTTTAAATTAAAAGTTTTTAAAGAACCCAAACTTTTTGTTTCGTCAATGTTGTGAAGGTAAAAGAAATTAGAAATAATTTTAAAAAATTAAAAAATATTTTAAAGACCGAAAATTGCCTGATGTCTGTCTCCGGAAATGTCATTTTAATACTTATACAAAAGAGACGGCAAGTTTAATTTATTTATTATAAGGGGAGTACGCAATAGTTTTTATAAACACACTTGGTTTACGGAAAGTTTTAAAAATACAAATAAAAAAGTTGGAATATATTTATACTTTCCGGAAAGGAATTGTAAAACAATTGGTAAAAAATTTTATTTTCCGGAAAACTTTAATTTAAAACTTTAATTCCGGAAAACTTTAATTATTCCAGCCTTCCGGAAAACAAAGTTTAAAATCTTAAGTTTTTTACAATCCGGAAAGTTTTAAACATATTTATTTATTTATAAAACTACAAATTGTAAAAACATTTAAACCTTCCGGAAAACTTTAATTTTACAAAACTTTTTACAAGTTTAGAATAATTAAAACTTTCCGGAAATTGTAAAACATTGCTTCCGGAAAGTTTTGAAAATACTCGTATAAGTTGGAACAATATTTATTAAAATATTATATTTTCCGGAAACATTTATTTTTACAATCCGGAAAGTTGGAACATTTTTCTTTATTTATTAAAACTACAAATTGTAAAAACATTTGTAAAAATCATTCCAACTTTCCGGAAAACAAAGTTTACAATCTTAAAGTTTTTTTAAACAATATTTTAGTTACAACAAATGTATTTTAAAAGAGATCCTTGCCCGATAGCAGCGGCGGTTGGAATTAATAATTAATTTTAAAATTAGGTGATTTATTATCTAGACTGATATTCAATACTGCGCGGCACAAGGGAGAGACCATAGTCGATGTTGTGCTAAAGTAGGGATTGCTTCTACTTTGGCTGGAAATAAATGTAAGGGGGGATTTTATTGAAATTAAAGGGGGGAAGGAAGTTGAGATTCTAAGATTATTCGAAAATCGGACTATAAAAATAGGGGCAGACTTGGGAAACTATATTAGGGAGATCATGGACTTTGTAAGTCATGTAGCCAAAATGCAACCTTGTATACCTAAGAAACTAGAAAGCAGGAGCTATTCGCAATCTTTCCGGAAAAACAAAATAAATCTTTCCGGAAAATTATATTCTTTAACATAACCATCTCAGAAATTTTTCGGAACAAAATTACAATCCGGAAAAATAATTTCTATAGCAACTTTCCGGAAAACAAATTACAATTTGTATTATTGTAATAATATAATTTCTACAATTCAATCCTTCCGGAAAAATAAAGATACCATCCGGAAAATTACATTCTTTAACATAATCATTTAAAAACTTTCCGGAAAAATAATTTTTTTAAATTACAATTTGTATTATTGTAATAACATAATTTTTACAATTCCATCTTTCCGGAAAAATATTCTAATAATAAAACCCCCTATTTAAATAATTTATTTTCCGGATTGTAATTTTTCTCTAATCTCTTCTACTTAAAGGTTTAGCCTTCTGTGACCAAAGAGCTGGTAAAGTAACCAAATTAGACTTTTCATATCTTCCGTGTTACGACCATTTTGAAAATATGAAACGATGTTTTTATAATGAAATAAGAATGCATATGGAGACTATTCTACTTCCAAAATTGGAAAAAGTGTCAAGAATTAAAATTGAGGAATAAATTAATTTTTTTGAAATTTTTTCGATAAATTTATTAAAAATTTTTTGTGTACAATTTTTGCAAAAAATTAAGTGGAAAAAGTATTTTTAAATAATTTTACAAAAAAAAATTTTTTTAAGAGTGTGCCAGTGATGAAACGGAGACCGGATTCATGGAACCCAATACCATAAATTTTCCGACGCAATATCCGAAAGCCCCGATCCAATGTTCTTTTCTCTCAATCTAGTCCATACTTTGACTTTTATGAATATCACACGTCCCCCACCCCTCCCCTTTATTTATAAGATTAAATTTTTTTTAAAGTACCTACCGTATATCCTGTAATAACTACCCTGGGTAATAATAATTATTGTTTCGACCTCCCGCTGGCGGGAGTAATTAATTGAGGGAAGGTAATTATACGAGGTTTGAAATTTAAACGTGTTTTAGGGCATTTGTTGGGGGTAATTATTGTTTTAATCTATCGCTGGATGGGGTAATTAATGGTATATATATAGTGAAGCCCGACTATGCCAAAAAACCATTTTTTAAATTCTTTTTTGGAATCCAAAAAAATTTTTAGACTGAAAAACTGAGCACACACCCAAAAAAAAAATTTTTTTTAACAAAAAAATAATAAAATTTGTATATTTTACCAAAAAAGTCTTTACCCAAAAATTTCTTTAAAATTCACAAAAAAATACAATTTTTCTTTAATTAATTAATTACTTGTTCGCCTTTGTTGTCTTTGTAAAGCATTTGAACGGCTAAAATAAAAATAAAGTCCACAAGTTGAAGTGAGCATTGAAAGGAAAAAAATTGAACGACGATCAGTAAATTGTGGATATACTAGAACAAATGACCAAAGTAGAAGAAATTTAACTAGAAAAATTGAAAAAAAAATTTTTGTGATATGGAAATTAATAAAAAGCAATTTAAAAAGGGCATAGAAAACATTACTTTAAAATCCGGCTGGGAGAGATTGTATATTTTTTTTGTTAATGATTTAAAGTGAGTTCTATTGAGGAAAGCGCGTATTTCTCTAAAAATGAGAAGGAAAAATGCCCAGAGCTGACATGATCCTAAAAAATGCCAATTTCAAGGGCAGACGAAAATATTTAAAAAAAGCGGGCGTGGCTTGAGGAAAGGCGCTTCTTCTGAATCATTCGGGAGTAGAAATGCCTAAAGAGCCTTTCACTAGATACGAGAGACTAACGCCATCCCTGCTACCCAGCTTATGGGTCCAGAGCCTTTCCGCCCAAAAAATGACTACCATGTGAAGAAAAAGGTCAGAGCCGGAAATACAAAAAAAACCCGAGACAACCAAAACACACGTAGCAATCGGAGTAGGATAATATCGAAAGAGAAGAGTATTGGCGCCTAGCATGTTTTTGAGAGGTCGCAAGAAAAATAAAAACAAACCAAAAATAATTAAAGCCATCAAATTTCCAATATTATAACGTGTATCATCTAAATTTCTATTATTTTGTAGTTGTTGTTGTTGATTAGCACCTCCTTCTTGCCGAGCAGCAACAAAAGCTGGACCAACCAAAATATCTAGAAAAACACTCAAAAAGCGTCTAATTCTTTGACGGAAATAGAACAAAAATGTTGACAATGTTCCTGTTGGAGCTACTTAAAAATGAAAAAAAAAATTAAATTAAAAATAATTGAAATCCCGTAAATCATAAAGTATTTTTGAATTAAACTACTAGAGATCGATATTTTCAAAAAAACCTGGATCTGGATTTAGGTTAGTAACCTGAACAGAATTCTTGACTCTAGATTCAGAAAAAATCCAGGACGGCAAAAAATGCCTGGATCTTGACTCTGGATCCAAAAAAAATCCAGGACGGCAAAAAATGCCTGGATCTTGACTCTGGATCCAGAAAAAATCTAGACTGGATTCAGATCAGACCGATCTCTAAAAACTACTACCAGATGTTCCTAGCCCACAAGATATTATTTGGGGTGAGAGATCTCAAATAAACACCTCAATAATCGAAGGTTTTCAAGAGAGATATCTCTCTAGTCTCAAAGTTCGGTCTCGAAATTGAATCATTTTCTCCTAGAATGTTCACGACGCCAAATCCTATTTTGGTTTGACTTAAGCCCCAAACCCGAAAACTGGAGGGTCAAAAAACTGACGATAATCCAAAAAGTGGACAGGTAACGCGATTAAACCCAGGCCCGTAGCCAGGGGGGAATTCCCCCCCCCCCCCCCCCCCCCCCCCCCCGAAATGGGAAAAAGGAAAAAATTTGGGGAAGGGCTAATCAAAAAAAATGAATTTTTTTGGCCTACGGCCTCTGAAATTTTAAAAATTTTCGCCTGCGGCGCTAAAAAAGGAAGAAATATGGCTTCTTGAGGTCCAAAATTCAAAAAATTTTCGCCTGCGGCGCAGAAAAAATTTCCCCCCTTGCCCCCCCCCCCCCCCCCGAAAAAATCCTGGCTACGGGCCTGGTTAAACCCCCCCCCCTACTATCAAAATTTCCCTCTAATAAGAGATGAAAAAGGGGGAGAATGAATGACAATTATCCAAAAAAGGAGAAACCCTCAAAATTTTTTTAAATATTTCAAAAAAACCTTCTTCCTCCTCTTGTCTATTTGCCCATTCCCAAACAATTCTAACCAAATTCCAAGCATAAGAAAATACAAAATTGAATAAAATTGACCAAAAACCAGTCTCAACCATTCGAGGTCCTGTACCCAAAATGCCTGGAGAAGTTGCTGTTTAAAAAAATTTTTTTAGAAAAATTTTGTGAGAGGACCTTAGAGTTGTTTGCTCATGGACGGTTAACCGAACTGAAAACCGGTGTTTTTTTTACAAATTAACCTAACAGGCCAATGTACCGCCGAGCTATAACTTTGTCCAAGATTGTCAAATCCGTGGCGCCCTGGTATGTTTCGATTCAGCTGGTTGAGATGCATCGAACTATACCACGGATTCATCGAACTATGCCACGGATTCGACAAATTTGACCAAAGTTATAGAGCTCGTCGGTACATTGGACTCGCGGTACATTGGGGGTGTATCCAGGGGGAAGGGGGCTAACATTGAACGTAAACCAAATGTTCACCAGTTCTATTATTATTTTCATTCCCACCACCAACATTATTTGTACCCAAAAACGTCCCCCTGGATACGCCCTTGGTACATGGGGGTGTACCCCCAATTTACCAAGAACAATACCAAACTTATATAGACAGTAGACAATGTTCCCTTGTAAGAAGGGCAACTCTTAATTTTTCCAAAAAATTAAAATTAAAAGCAAACCTCCACTACCTCCAATTTGTGCTCCATTTTCACCAGCTCTATTATTATTCTCATTTCCTCCACCTCCTCCACCATTGTTTGTACTATAAGGTCTAGTACCTACATGACAATGCAAAACACATTGGTCAGTTAACCCATAATATTCCAAAGTTGAAGAATCATCCCGTAATAAACGTCCTTGATAAATTAAACGAATAATTTTGCCTTCTTTTAATTCTTCAGAAAAGTGAAGTCTGTTGAATAGAAAAAAAAAATTTTTTTGAAAAATTTCAAAAAAAATTTCAGAAAAATAAAAAAAAAATTTTTTTGTAATATTGAACCGGACAGCCTCACCTTTTTCCTCCCCAATTATCCCCCTATATTTTTGCAAAATGATTAGACTTTTTTCCTTTCTTCCATCCAAATTGCCTTCTAATTTTTGTCTACAATTAAACAAAAAGGATTATTTAAATGCCAAAAACAAACAAAAGTAGGAAAAATATAGGGGGAAATTGGGGAGGAAAAAAGAGGGTCTGTCCGGTTAAATATTACCGAAAAAAAAATTTTAAAAATTTTTTTGGAAAATTTTTTTCCAGATTTTCAAAAAAATTTTTGAGATTTTCGAAAAAAAAAACTCGAAAAAATTTTCAAAAATTAAAAAAAAAACGAAAAAAATTATAAAAAAAAAACCTTTTAAAATTCCCAATAGTTACATTTTTGTTTGTTTGGACTATTTTTAAAGAATCATCCAAAAATTTAATTCGAATACAAATTGAATCGGCAGACAAATTTGTTGAAGTATTGATATCTAAAAAATATAGAATGCATTTTAAAAAATTTATTTGTTACTAGACAACATTAAAAAGTTTAGAAAAATCAATTTCAAGCAAAAAACACCAAAAGGATTCGAACCTTTAGGTAAAATAAAGTCTAGTCAGGTGCGTAAACCAATACACCACAGAAGAACACAAACACAATTTGATTTAAATAAGTTAAATAGAGAAAAGGAAATAACGGTGAATGGACAACTAACAATAAGACGAAGCAATAGAATGGAACAAAATCCAGCAAAAAAAAATTATTTTTTAAAATATTTTAAAAAATTTTCCCAAAGAAAAAATTTTTTTAGAACATTAAAAAAATTCTTTAGTAAAATAAATTAAATTAACCTCTATCCCCATTATTTTCTTCATTTTGTGAATTATTAGTAGCGTTAGAAGCAGAAAACGTCTAAATTTAAATTTAAAAAATATTCATTAAAATCCAAAAAACCTGCTCCTCTTGTTCGCCAGAAAATTGAGAATTCATTGAAGAAAATGAATTATGGTTTAAAATAGCAGACAAAAGTTGAGGAGAAATATTTCTAGAAAATTTAAGAATTAAAATAGAAACACCTTAATGCAGGATACAGCCCAATATTAAATACTAGAGTATAACAAAATCACGAATCCGGGTGCCTGTAAGGGACTGGTTTCAGAAAAAACGGAAATCCCCAAAATCTTGTTTGTCGCCAAAAATACCAAGATTTCCAGACGTGATTCCCAATGGCGTAGCTAGGGGCTATAGCCCCCTGAAATGGGGAAAATGAAAAAAATTTTTAAGGGAAATTAAAGAAAACTCCTACCATTTAAAGGGACCACCGCTCTCTGACCATTATGAGACCAATGTATTTTATTTTCTATTAATCATAATTATGTAATCATTCTTTACTTCTCACTAACATTTATTCTTCACAAATCTGATGTGAGACAATTGAAATTTGGTGTCAAAAAATATAGTCCCAAAATGGTCAGAGAACGACGGCCCCCTCAAATAGCCGAGGTACCTGAGTACTATATAAAAAAGAAACCGTGTAGAAGAAGGCGCTTGAACAATAAAAAATCTATTTATAACGTCACTGGATTGATCAGAACTTTCCTCTGAAGCTAAAGATGCTGGAGTGTTGGGAGTAGAAGAAGAAGCTGTAGAATCAGTTGTGTTGAAGGTGTCGAGGTCGGCAATTGGAATTATCTGAAAAAAAGGTAAAAATACAAATTAGAAGAGAATGACTTGGTAGGGAGGGTACAGCCCAAGTAGGCGCAAAGCCATAACGGCGCAAAGCCATAACTTGCTGCAAGATTTCCGAATCTTGTCAAATTTAGTATTAAACAATTCCTCTCATCGAGATAAAGAGATTGGTACCAAAATTGTTAAGGGCCAGAAATTTTCCAGCAAGTTATGACTTTGCGCCTTTATGGCCGCGCGCCTAGTTGGGCGTGTCCCTGGTAGGGAACCTCACCAAAATGAAAAAAAGAAGTTGGGATTAGAGACCGGATCGAGAGCAGATCTCGAACAAAAATCGCGATTAGAGCTCGATTCTCGTACGACTATTCACGTTTGGTCTCTAGTTGGGATCCCAATAACCTTATAAATAAATCGCCTTTAAATGAATAGACCCTCGCGAAAAATTCCCAGGCTGCGGCTACAAAATTCAAAGACACATAGCCAAGAGGAAAGGGATTAACCTTATGTTTTACAAAAAAATGTGGACAGTTAACGAAAAAGTACCCATTAAAATCAAATAAAATCATCGGTTTAAAAAAATTAAAAAAAAATACCACAGCAGATCGACGCCTTCTTAATTGAACAACCCAATAATTAAACTGCAAATAATCCGAAGACAATGAAGTGCTCTCCCAAATACAAAAGCTAATAATTGTAAAGATGAGTGAAAGTAGACAATTTGGCTGGAAAGAACAAAAAATTAAATTTAAAGTTTCCGTGTGAATTTTATTTTAGGGGTAAATTAAAGCTTAATTGAAAGGTAGCTCGTTGGGCTGGGTCAAACAACACTAAAAAATAGCCCGTAGAAAAATCAGGACAGAAAACTAGACCAGAGAACATCCAGAAAAAGACGAGCTTTTCGAACCCTCGACGAGCTTGTTGAATTAGCCAAGCTCCTTTCAAACTGGGTTCATCGAAAGCCCTTCAAGCTCCTTTAAAAAATAAATTCCCACCACGGAAACTCTAAGTTAACCTCTAAATTAAATTTAAAAAAACAAAAAACATACAATATATTCAAGTAAAAAATCAAAAATTATATCAACACCAAATAACATAAGTCTAGAAGAGCTGAAAAAATTATTAAACTTTAAATTATTAAATAAAAGTTCTACTGAATCAGCAACAACTTGCGAGAAAAACGAACGCGCGAAAAAAAAAAAAAAAATTAATTAACTTAACAACACGTCGAGCTGAACCAACACTATTCCAAATTCTGCCAAGACCACATTTCACCAATAAGGGGAAAATCCAACGTTTTGCCACACGTCCTGTTGACAAAACGTGGAATTTTACCCTTGTTGGCGAAATATGGAATTGGCATAATATGCCAAAACACATTTTGACAATATTCTGCCAAATACACATTTCGCCAATAAGGGAAAAACACTCGTCTTGCCAAATAGTCCTGTTGACAAAAAATGGAATTTCACCCTTATTGGCAAAATATGGAATTGGCATTATATGATACCCGTAAATAAAAAACCTAACAACAAACGTGCTATTTCTCAGAACTCTAACTGTCTGACTGTATTATAAAAATTTTTATTATACTCTCTAACACTGTTCTTTCTCTTTTTCTACATTAACTCCTAAACAAAACGCTTTATTACAAAACGCCTAAAAGGGGAAAATGCGACATAATGCCAACTGACAAAATGTAACTTTATTTGATTTTGCCCCATTTTAAGCAATTTTTGTTTGGATTTTGGGTGGGGATTTTTGATGTGTTAGTTTTCATAAATTTAAGCTTAAATTTTCACACAGATTTAATGGAATATCATCAACTTCTTTTATTTTTATTACTTTTCTTTTGTCATTTTCAATTAATTAAAACTGCCCCCTCCTTCGATGACAACGAATTTGCTGAATTTGAAATTGCCGATGAAGAACCTCACGTTTCTTTTGCTAATAATGATGTTAAAGAAGAAGAACGAGAAAAAGTGGATGAAGTAAAGGAGGATGTTAGAGAAGCGACTAAACAGGTTTTCTTTTGAATTTTAAATCCTTAGGTTGAACCGGTGTGTTTGTCCATGGGTTTGCCCAAATAATGAGGGTGTCCTGATTTTTTAATCAAGCTTTGAAATTGCTCATGAACGGTATTATTCTCAGAAACTTGAAAGTTTCATGTCCATTTCTAGTCAAGTCCTCGGTTCTTTCTAGTCTATCCCGGTTCTTTTTTATTCCAGGCTTAAGCACAGATCAAATCTGGTTCAGTGGGTCATGAAATTTTCAAAAGTCTAAAGTTAAATTTAAAATTTTTAGACTGACCCAACCGAAGATTTTTCCTTCCTGGCAGATGAAGACGAATTTGAACAGGCTGAAAAAGAATTGGAGGCAAATCAGGGTGAAGCTGATACTGCTGGGAAGCAAGGCGATACTATTAAACCGTTGACTTTTGCTGATGTATTTTTTTAAACTTTCGTAATTTTTTAATGCATTCTTTTCAGGTTCCTTCACATTTTCGTTCAAATTGGTCTAGTTATCAAAGTTTGAATTTTTTTAATTTTTAAAAAGATCAACCAAGGGGGTCAACACCCTGCGTCAATTCTTTAAAAAAATCCCTTAAAAGTCGAATATTTGGGTGGATAAAGAAGGATTTGGGCGATTAGGAAGGTTTATGGGTATTAAGAGGATTAAGAGGATATCGATGGATTTGGGCGGATTAAAATTAGGGTTGCCGTTTTCGAGTCGGGCCGACGTTCGAGTCATATTTTTCGGACCTCATTTTTATCGGGCCGGCCTTACCGAGTATTTTTCGGGCCAAAATTCGATGTCCGCTCAATCTTCCGGACCGGACCGGGCCGGCAACCCTAATTAAAATGGATTTGTTTGGATTAAGGAGGAGTCTCGAGCAACTGACAAACAAGGCAAACGCAGCAGGCTAACTCATTCTTGTTCTTAAATTCCCTTTTATTCACTCAAATATTTTGAATTGATTTTCTGGATCAGTTAACTACTAGGAAGTTGACCTCTAAGGCTGGAGCTTTTTAAAAAATATTTCTTATTCAATTTTTTAAATTTCAAGTTGAGTCAATAGCTCTTTTTGTAATTATTATTTATGTAATTAATTATTTATATGGAAAAACTAAAAATTATTCGATTGCTTTAAAGGTTTGTTTCTTGAAAAGAAATATTTTTTAAGCAAATTTTTAGTGGTTTTCTGACAACCGCGAGAAGTTGGAACAACAATTTGCGTTGGTAGGGGATGATGGAACAAGCACGGAAGAAATGGAAGGCCATTTAATTAGAGAAACTGAATTTTCCTATACTGTGTGGAGTACTGGAAGGACTGGTTGTAAAGGAATGCTGACACAAATTAAGGTTTATAAAACTTGTCGGAGGGATTTTGGATTTTTGGGGAAATCACTGGTTTGGGAAAAAAGGTCGGGTTGGGTTCTGAGTCGAGTTTTTAAACTTTTCTTCGGGTTGGGTTCTGGATGGATCTAAATGTTTGGGTATTGGATCTCAAGTAACCCGTGGCATCTCTTTCACAGGGATGTCATTTTTCTCATTTTTGAGAAATTTTTCTCTCTTCTTATATTTTATGAATTTCATTTCTGGAAATTCTGATTTTCGAATTAAACTATAGATAGTCACCAAATTACTAGATTATCTGATTAAGCCATCTTACTGTTCAATACTACGGATGTGGTGGGTTAGATGAAATCCGGATACTTTTCGGTTCTGCCACACCCCTCCCATATATTCGCAGGTTACCTTTCTTCATATGTAACTTTCTCCTTTGTTCAATTCCCTCAATTTTCCCTGTGGAATGTTCAATGAGCGGCATTAATAAAGAAAAGATTAATTTTTACTCAGTTTTCCCTTCAAACAATTTCTCCTAGAAAGGAGAAAGTCTGACCATTCTGTACGTATGTTGGAAAAATGTAAAATATAACCTGCGAATATATGGGAGGGGTGTGGCAGAACCGAAAAGTACCGAAATCCGTACTCTTCCTCCGACCGAAACACGATCTTGTTTTTTTTCAAACCCGGCATCCCTACTGGGCTTGTTTGCCTATTTTTGCTTTAATTTCAATAAGTTTCATCTTTGGCCGCAAAAATTTTTTCAAAAAAAAAAAATCCGCAAATGTATAGTCTTTAATTTTATTTCCCCCCAATTTTTCAGCTTCGTAAAAGACAAGATTTACTCGGTATTTTGCTCAATATAATCAGACCTCAACCTGACAGAGTTGTTCACAAAATAGATATGGACCCAAATGAAATGGATTCTTTTGTTCTTATTTTTGGACAAAAAAAAAGTGTTTTGAGGGCTGTGAAGGAAATGCATGATTTGGTTTATTTTAAATTTTTTAAAAAATTTTTTCAAATTTTCGGAAGATTTTTGAAAAAATTTTAAAAATTTTTTGGAAAATTTTTTAGAAATTTTCCAAAAAAATTTTTTTTTTAAATTTTTTGGAAAAATTCTCAAAAAAAATTTTTTTAATTATTCTAAAAAATAATTTTTTTTCAAGTCAGTTTATGTGACAGAAAAGAAAAATTTTGAGAAATTACAATTGCTCCCTTCTTTTTGTGTTTATGCTGAAGTTGCTGAAATTGTTTGTTTATTTTCTTTATTTTAATTAAACTCTTTCCTTAAAATTTATATTTTCCCTACATTTAGGAAAATAAAATTTAAAAAAAAATATGGAAAACCATAAAATGTATTTTCGAAAATCAGAATTTATTTTCCGGAAACTTTTAGTGTTCAAGTGGAAATAATCCGGAAATACATCTTCTGGTTCTGATTTTATAAAAATACATTTTATTTTTTTCCGGAAAGGTTAGATTGCTGATTTTGCAAAAATCATTGTGTTTTTGTGTTTTCCGGATACTTTTAATTCTGATTTTAAAATTATTTTTCTTTCCGGAAATGTTCTGATTTTCTCTAATAATTATATGTATTTTTCCGGAAACTAATTAAAAAATGTGTTTTTCTGTGTTTTCCGGAAACATTAATTCTGATTTTTTATGTGTTTTCCGATTTTATTTTATATTTTTCCGGAAAAGCTTTAATTTTGTATTTTTTCGTGTTTTCCGGAAGCATTAAATTCTGATTTTTATTTTAATGTGTTTTCTGGTTTATTTTGTATTTTTCCGGAAAAAGTTCAATTTTTAATTTTACATGTATTTTTCCGTATTTTCAGGAAGCATTAATTCTGGGTTTTAAAGTGTTTTCCGGTTTTATTTTGTATTTTTCCGGAAAAAGGTTTTATTTTACAAAAATGTATTTTTCCGTGTTTTCCGGAAGCATTAAATTCTGAAATCTTTTTTTAAATTTCTAATTTTCCCTCTATTTAATTAATTTTTAGGTCCCAGCAATAATAGATTCAACAACCGTTCATTTTCTCAAGCGTTGTGAAAAATATATAGAATATGTCCATATTTCTGACCAATATTCTGGGGCTAAACAACAAGAGTAAATTTTAAAAAATATTTTTTTTTTTAATTATTTTTAGTGGACAAAATTCATCAAAATTGCCAGAAACACACCCTACACTTATTTTTAGCTTTATTTTAAATTCGGACAACGATGATACTTCGATGGACGAACTTTTGTTAAATTTTACCTTTTATATTTTGGAAAGGGTCAAGAATTACCGATTAAGGTGGGTTTTTAATTAATTAAAATTAATTAAAAATTGATTTTAAAATTAAAAAAAAAATTTTTTTTAGTAAGGAAGGAAAAATAAGGGCAGATAGAAAACGACAAAATGTCCAAGAAAATTTTCTTAAAATGACGCATCAACAAAGGCAAGAAGCAGCGCAGGTAAAGTGTTTAGTTTTGTAACAAATTGTGTTTTTCCGGAAAACTCTTTAAAACACTTTTCTAATAATTATATTTTTCCGGAACATTCTGTGTTTTCCGGAAACTTTTTATAGTTTCCGGAAGCTTTTATATATTTTCCGGAAACTTTTATATTTTTCCGGAAACTTTTATATTTTTCCGGAAGCTTTTCTGAATTTTCCGGAAACTTTTAAATATTTTCCGGTTGCTTTTCTGAATTTTCCGGAATATTCTATTGTATTTTCCGGAAACTTTTCTATGTTTTCCGGAACCTTTTATATATTTTCCGGAAACTTTTAAATATTTTCCGGAAACTTTTAAATATTTTCCGGAAACTTTTATATATTTTCCGGAAGCTTTTATATACTTTCCGGAAACTTTTCTGAGTTTTCCGGAAACTTTTATATATTTTCCGGAAGCTTTTATATATTTTTCCGGAACATTCTATATTTTCCAAAAACTTTTCTTTGTTTTCCGGAAGCTTTTCTGATTTTTACGGAAACTTTAATATATTTTCCGGAAGCATATATATTTTCCGGAAATATATTCTAATTTTTATTTATTTTTAGATTCGAAGAGAGGAGAAAACAAGAGAACGCAAACAAAAAGTAATGGAGGAGGAAGACCCGGACAGGCAACGTCGTCTTGAAAAATTGGAACAAAAGCGTGATGCTAAAGCAAAACAGCCTAGAATTAAGCAATTTAAAATTAAATAGAAAGAAAAAAATATTTTTTTGAAAATTACTCAATTTATTTTTTTGTTATTTAGATTAAAAAATTCATTTTTTTATTAAAAAAATCAGAAAAAAATATTTCAGAATTTTTCAGAAAAAAAACAATACTCAACCATGCAGAGGAGTTTTCCAAATTCACATTTAATTTTAATATATGTAAAGGACATATTTAAAATATAAAGGACAACAACAGCTTAAGAGAAAACTGAGGTTGTCGAGGAGGAGTTATATCTAGAGCTTCATAATCCGTTTAGCAAATTCTGGTCTCAAAAAAATCACATTTAATGTTACTGTGCGGAGGGCTCATGCCAAAATTTTTCAAAAATTCTTCAATATTATTTATAATTATTCTGAGAGCTATTTCGATTGGATTATAGCTATTTCGATTTGGATTATATTAGTTTATCTTAAAATAAAATCCCCCACGAAAGTGGTTTATCCAAAAATGGGGGGAAGTCTTGATAAAGTCTTCCAAAAAATATTTTTGTTTTTTTATAAAAAATAAAAATTTGACAAAATTTTCATTGAAAAAAATTCTCGAGTATTTTCCAAAAATTTAAACATCAATAATCACACCCACATCATTTTTTTCTTCAATCGGCTTTGTAATTGTATTGCGTTGTTGAGTAAATTTGTAAAATTCAGATGCCTTCTCTCCCGTCTCAAAAATTAATAAATAACCAATTTTCTGGTAATGTTTCTCCTTAAAAATTGAAAGATAAATTCTGATTGTTTAGAAAAAACACATTAATTGTGTTCCGGAAAGAATTAAAAATACATTTAAAAATACATGTTTCCCGGAAGGAGAATTCTGATTTTGTTCGAAAAATACAATTAATGATTTTTTCCGGAAAACAAAGTATTTTTCTGTATTTTTGGGAAATACGATTCTGATTTACTAAAATACATTCTGATTTTTCTAGAAAACACATAACATTTTCTGATCTTTTCCGGAAAAGAAAAACACATTTTATTCTGTTCCGGAACAGAAAACACATTTTCTGATCTTTTCCGGAAAACACATTTTCTACCTTTTCCGGAAACATAAAAACACATATTCTAGTTTCCGGAAACAGAAAAATACATTTTCTGCCCTCTTCCGGCGACAAAAATACATTTCTATCCTTTTCCGGAAACAGAAAAAAACACATTTTATTCTGTTACGGAAACATAAAAACACATTTTCTGTCCCTTTCCGGAAAAGAGAAACACATTTTATTCAGTTCCGGAAACAAAAATACATTCTTTTATCTTTTCCGGAAAATACATATTTTCTGTATTTTCCGGTAACATCTAACTTATTTAAGCATTAATTCTGATTTTTCCGGAAATCTCCTTACTTGTTAAAATACAGAAAAACACATAAAATTCTGATTTTTCCGGAAAACAATTTTTCTCTCTCTCAAAACGTCACCAAACCAAAAATATTAAAAAACGTCACAACAACTTACAGTTCCAATCCAAACACAAATATTGGGTTGACTTTCACCTCGTTCTACCATAAATCCATCATTACGTGTTGGAAGAGCATACTTGACCGAATCGTCAGAAGAATCTTTTAAAGTCAAAATCAAGTCTCCATCTGATTTGTGCTTTACCTGAAATTTTGAAAAAAAATTTTTTAAGAAAAAATCAGAATTCTGATTTTTTCTTGTTCTGAAATATTCTGATTTTTCTGATTTTGGAAAATTCTGTTTTTTTCTGATTTTTAAAAATTCTGATTTTTTCTGATTTTGGAAAATTCTGTTTTTTTCTGATTTTTAAAAATTCTGAAAAATTCTGATTTTTATTATTCCGATTTTTTTGAGTTCTGATTTTTTCTGGTTCTGAAAAATTCTGATTTTTTTCTGATTCTGAAATATTCTGATTTTTTTCTGGATTTGAAAAATTCTGATTTTTTCTGATTCAGAAAAATTCTGATTTTTTGGTTCTGAAATATTCTGATTTTTCTAATTTCTTGAATTCTGATTTTTTCTGATTCTGAAAAAATTCTGATTTTTCTCAAAAAAATTTTTCTTACCTGAAGTTGGTCAGTCGTGTAAGCATTTGAGGTATTTGTAACGAACCAGCACTTGACAACTTTGCATTCAAACAATTTCTAAAAATTAATTTTTAAAGTGGAAACACCCCAAAAATCCTGTTTACCTTTCTTTTCAACTTCTCCCCATCTTTTCCAGATTTTTTTACTTTTTTGAGTTTAATAACCTTCTTTTTCGCTTCCTTCGTTTCCATTAGACTCAAAATAACTGAAAAAAAGGAAAAAATCAAAAATAAATTTAAAAAATCCGAAAAAAAATTTTTAAAGAAAATTTAAATTTGATTTACCATTATTAAATTTACCATTTTTACTTTTTTTGACATTATGCCAAAAAATTAATTTTTTGCAAAAACGGTCATTAGAGCGCCGCAATAGAGCGCCGGCTGATATTTGATCGACCATAACTTTTCTATGCCTGATCCAATAGAAATGAATTTTATACCATTCGAAAGCTATTGATAAGCGGTATATTTTTTACAAAGGAGTGATTCAAGTCTGATCAACCATTAAAAAGTTATAACACAAAAAATGTGAAAATCACCAAATATTTTCACTTATCGGATCATAACTTTTTAGGGGATGATCAGACTTTATCGGTGTAGTTGGAAAAAAGATAGCGCTTATCAATAGCTTTCGAATGATATAAGATTTGTTCAGCTTGGATCAGGCAACGTAAAGTTATGACCGAGTAAAGTCGACGGGTTCCACGCACTCAACTGACCCCCAATCTTCTTTTTCTTTAGACATTATGCCAAAATAATTAAAAATAAATTTTATTCAAAAATTAACAAGTCGACAACGTTTCTGTCCTTCCAGCCGCAAAATTACTATAAAAGCAACCCATTTCCGGAAACTTCTAACCGGACACTTCTAACAACTTTACTTGTTCTCTCCATTTCGCGTGCCGTTTTCTCAACTATTTTCCCAAGCTGGTTCTCTTCGATTTTATTGAGCACTTGAAGGATTGGTGGTATTCTGCTGAAACTGGTTAGGATTCTTATCTTCTGATCTTCTTGCTACTTGTGTAGTTTACCCCCCATGATCTTTGGCCCTTTTAATTTCTGTCTTCGTTTCCTTTGAAGTGACATTTTGGGAAAGGAGCTGGCTTATGGGGGGCAAACTGCACAATAATCCTTTTTCATTTTTTACAGCTTCTAGTTCCGATCCGGACTGTTCAACAATGCTGTCGCCTTCGTTTGAATGTGTCTTAGTCAACACCCAGCCAACAGAAAGGTCAAATTCAACCTACATTCAACCTCAACCAATAGGGCGTGTGTCAGAATATGTTATTGGTGGCTTTGAACCCAACGCTGTGAGGGAATATGATGTGTCTGAGTATGTGGTGGGACAAGCTGGGAATAATACTAATAACGACAACACAAGAACGGCAACAACAGCAGTCACAGAAAGCACAACAGCAATCACAACAACAACTGCTGTGGCGTTAGCTACTCCAGCGCCTTCAACCAACAGGCCTTCAACAAGGTGTGTGGGTTTCTTTTTCCTTTAGGGGTCTTTTCCTTTAAGTTTGCGAAAGTCCGCAAGTTCCAAATAAAAATCCGTAAAAGTTGTCCGCAAGTCACAAAAGTTGTCCGCAAGTCCCAAATAAAAATCCGCAAAAATTGTCCGCAAGTTCCAAATAAAAGTCCGCAAAAGTTGTCCGCAAGTTCCAAATAAAAGTCCGCAAAAGTTGTCCGCAAGTTCATTTTTTCCTTTTTAGTAATGCAACAACTTCGAGCAGTACCACACCTGGACATCGATCAACCGTGCCACATCCTCCACCACCTCCTGATCACCATTCTTCTCATCATAATCGTTCAAGATCAACAAGAGCTCCTCATCCTCATGAATCAGCAGGAAGTTCGACAGTTGTGCCGCCTCCAGAGTTTTTGATTCTGCGTTGTTACTCCATGGAAAAACACCCAAAATTGAGTCGTTCTGCAATTCGGGATGCTGTATATGGTGGAAAGGTAAGAAATTTCGAGTTTTGAAAATTTTGACGAAATTTCGAGTTTCGAAATTTTTGACGAAATTGCGAGTTTCGTAAATTTTTGACAAAATTTCGAGTTTCGGAAATTTTGACGAAATTTCGCATTTTGTAAATTTTGACGAAATTTTGAGTTTTGGATTTTGACGAAATTTCGAGTTTCGAAAAATTTTGACGAAATTTCGCATTTTTTAAATTTTTTTAAGATTTCACTTCCGCCATCCTTCATAAGCCATTTGCAATACATCTATGCTTTCTACACTCTTAAAATAGTCTACTATAAAATTACTCCATTGGCACAACCATCACTGAAAGAAATTGATGAAAAACCTTCTAGAGTGTTCTGTGGTGCGCTAGATTACGAATCTCCTGAGGATCAATGTTATTTGCCTCCTTGGGTAGGGACAACTTTTTTTTTAATTTTTAACCTCCTTTGGTCATTCCATCTTCTTTCGGATTAATGTCGTTTCGGTCAAATGTCGTTAGGTCAAATGACAGTTTGGTCAAATGTCATTTTTGTCAAGTGTCGTTTTGGTCAAATGTCATTTTGATCAAATGTCGTTTAGACCAAATGTCGTTTCGGTCAAGTGTCGATTTGGCCAAATGTCATTTTTATCTAATGTTGTTATGATCAAATGTTATTTCGGTCAAGTGTCGTTTAGGTCAAATGTCGTTTTGGCAAAGTCAAAATGCTTCCATTTTCTAACAGACATTTTCCAATTGTTTTTCAAATTTTTAACATTTAAGATGATGCGGCAGTTAAAATTGCATGATGGTTATCCTGTCTGGATTCAGCACGTAGCCAATTTGAAAACTGCAACTTTTGCAAAATTCAAGCCGATTCTGTCAAAGCGAGTGCTCTCCATAATTAACGACGAAAACATCAAAAAGGTTCGACAAGTGCTTGAAGTGCAGCTGAATAAATATCAGTGCTTGTCTGTTGGGGATGAAATTGCTATTGAGGTAGGGGGGGATTTTTTGAATTCTGAAAATGGGCGTTTTGAGAGTTGGGCATTTTGAAAATGGGGTATTTTGGAAATTTGACATTTTGACGTTTAGACCTTTTAAAAAATGACCTTTTAGAAATAGGTGTTTTAAGAATTGGACGTTTTGAAAATTTGACATTTCGAAAATGTGTATTCTGAAATTTGACATTTTGACAGTTGGCATTTTGAAAATTTGACATTTTAATATTTGGGCGTTTTGAAATAAAGCCCTTTAAATTTTCAAAAAAAAAAAAAATATTTTTTTCTAGTACAACAAGGACGAACTTCGCTTTCGAGTGACTGACTTAAAACCAAATCGGCTTTGCGACATTACAAATTGTGATTTGAAGGTGGATTTTGATGATTACGAGCTGCTTACAGAAACGGCTATTTTTGTAAGAAAGAAAATTTTTAAAAATTTTCAAAATTTATTTTTAGGATGAACACAAAATGGAGCCTGAAATTGATGAGGACTACAAGCCTGGACAACTAACATTTATGAGAAGGGAGGGATATAAGGCACATAAATTGGTCAAGGAAATGGAGAAGCTCAACAACACTGACAACAACTCTAAACCAAAGGACAATGATGTCAAGAAGAGTGGCTTTAGCGGGAAAGGCTTCAAACTTGGAAAGAAACCAAAATAAATAATAATTTCTTTTGTTATTGTAAATATGTTTTTGTAAATATATTTTTGTTGTATATTGTTGCTAATTTATTAAATCAAGTTTTTGTGTTTTAAAAACTTGATTTGAGTTTCCCTTAACAACTGCAATTTAATTTAAAATTTAGGTTGTCATCTTTGAAATTCCCCCTTTTTCTGGTAGGCAATTCGGGTTTTACAATTTTCCGCAAGTGTTTTACAATTGCAAAAATATTGTCACAGAAACTTCCGGAATTGTTTTCCTGAATTAGTTTCTGGTAAACAATTTGAGTTTTACAATTTGTATGTTTTCTTTCAAGTTTTACAATTTCCTTTAAAGTTTTCATTTTCCGGAAAGATAGAATTGTAAAAATAGTCACAGCACTTTCCGGAATTATTTTCCGGAAGTAATATTTTATTTATTTACTACCGGAAGTGTATTGGATTTTCCGGAAAGATTTACAATTTGTAAAAAAATATTTTAAATAATCAAAAATTGTTTTCCGGAAAAATTTTACAATTGTAAAAATAGTTACAGACCTTCCGGAATTATTTCACGGAAGTAGTATTTCATTTATTTGTTTCCGGAATTGTATTGGATGTTCCGGAAAGTTTTACAATTGTAAAAAAATATTTTAAATTAATCTTAAATTAATCTAATAGTTTTCCGGAAAGGTATAATTTTAATTTTCCGGTTAAACTTTCAAGTTTTACAATTGTAGTTTATTTAAAACAAGTTTGCAAAACATTTAACAATTACAAACTTTAAAGTTTTACAATTAAATTTTACAATTTGTAATTCTCCCTTATTCAGTATTTTTGATAAACCTTCCCTCAATAAATGTCCTTTCAAAATTAATTCCTTCTTTTATATTTTCTGTTGTTCTATGGACATAATTACATTCATAAGTAGAGTAACCACATTCCTCGAATAATGAACTTAGCTCCTCTAAAAAAAGTTTTTTTCAATTTTTAGAATTTTTAAAATTTTTGTTTTTGCCTGTTAAAAAATAATAGGCTCTAGTCCCGTCTTGTCTAACATAAAAGCGTTCGTCTATTTTTGAATTTCTTCCAAATCTGGTCATTGCACTGAGAAATTAATTTTTATTTAAATTTTTTTTCACTTCCGGAATTGTCTTCCGGAAAATTCTCCGAAATTTTCCTGAACATTCAGGAAATTTTGGATCCGAGGAAAAAATCATTCCGATAAACCCCAGAAATTTATTCCGGAAACGGATTCGGAAATTTTCCGGAAAATTTTTTCCGGAAAAAATAAATTCAAGAAGAAAATTCCGGAAAATCTCCGAAATTTTGCTGAAAATTCCGTTCTGGTTCAAAAAAACCGGAAATGGAATCCGGAAACGGATTCCGAAAATTCCGGAAAAGAATTTTCCGGAAAGACAATTCCGGAAAATTTAAAAATTGTAATGTTTAACTGGTCATTCGCTCCATAATCCCTAACAATTACACTTCCTTTCGGCTTCAATAATTTCCTAATATTTTTAACAACTTCAATTTGTCCTTCTTTTGAAATTGTTGAGAGTACAAATACAAGAGAAATTAAATCCATTTGAGGAAAATCCAATTCTGATATGTTTTTTGATGTTAAATCGAATACTGTGGCTATAACTGAAATTAGAATGTATTTTTAAAAGGTTTTTACAATTGTATTTGTTTGTTTTATATTACATATTGTTTTTCCGGAAAGGTTTTACAATTGTAAAAAAAAATAAAATATAATAGGTGTTTTCCGGAAACTTATTAAATTACTTCCGGAATTGTAAAATCAGTTGTTTTCCGGAAAATTGTAAGTTCATTTAAATTAATATTCCGGTTTTCAGTTTTACTTTTCCGGAAAGGTTTACAGTTGTGAAAAAATAAAAATTAGTTGTTTTCCGGAAAATTGTAAACTCGATTAAATTAATTCTGGCTTTGTAAAATCAGTTTTGTTTTACTTTTCCGGAAAGGTTTACAATTGTAAAAAATAAAATCTAAAGTCGACTAGAATTCCGGAATTGCTTTCCGGAAAGTTTCATAATTATAGTTAATTATAAAAAATTAAAAATTCAATTATATTAAGACTAAGAAAATTCCGGAATAAATATTTTCTTTCTTATGTTAGTCTTACATGTATCACAAAATCAATTAGGACTTGCTGACTTATAGTAATACACCCATTTTTAATTGAAAAATGTCTAAAACTTAATTTAAAAATTTTTTTCCCTATTTTGCGTTCTTGCGTTTTGCGTTATTTGCGTTAAATTTTGGCCTTGCGTTGCGTTTTGCGTCTTGCGTTTTTTGAGATTGTCTCTTGCGCCCACCCCTGAGTCCAACTAATGCAAATTTTTTCCCTCTTACCCTTAACGCCAGTTTCCACTGATCTCTTCTCAAGTAAGTCAATTGCATTTTTAGAAAAATCTATTCCGTAAAATTCCCAATTAGGAAAACATTTGGTTAACGGGAATATTGTATTTCCACACCCACAACCAGCATCGAGAAATAAAAGGGTATCCTTAAATTTAAAAAAAATTTTTTTTTAATCTTAGAAAGCTAACATTTAAGGAAATATCCTCACATAAATGTTCAATTTCTTTTTTGGTCCAGTTTCTATCTTTAAAAAAGTTGGAAGAATTTCTTTTGTAAAAACGATCCCAATTTTTCTGTGCGTTCTTTTCCAAGCTTAGCCTATAAAAATAAATACTAAAAAACTTGTTTTACAATTGTAAAAATAAAATAAATAAATTACAATTATTTTCCGGAAGAATAAATAAAAGACTAGAGGTATTTACAATTGTAAGTTTAATTCTCCGTTTCCGGAAATTGTTTCCGGAAAAATTAAAAACTAGGTTTTACAATTGTAAAAGTTAATTTGTTTCCGGAAAAGGTTTCCGGAAAAATAATTATTAAAGTTTTGAGGTTTTTACAAATGTGAAAGTAAAATAAACTTGTTTTACAATTGTAAAAGTAAAATAAATAAATTACAATTATTTTCCGGAAGAATAAATTAAAGACTAAAGGGTTTTACAATTGTAAGTTTAATTCTCCGTTTCCGGAAAATTAAAAACTAGGTTTTACAATTGTAAAAGTTAACAATTGTAAAAGTTTCCGGAAAAATAATCATTAAAGTTTTGAAATTTCACAATTGTAAAAGTAAAATAAAGTTGTTTTACAATTTGTAAGTTTTACGGAAAAATAATTATTAAAACTTAGGGTTTTACAATTGTAAGTTTAATCCATTCTCTGGTTAGTTGTTTCCGGAAAATTAAGTTTTTACAATTAAAAGCTACTTTTTCCGGAGATTGTTTGACTGACCTTCTCAAAAACTCAAGTCTTTTACCCTACTTGATTTTACAATTGTAAAACAAATTACAATTTTAATTATGTACAAAAAACTATTATTAAAAACTCACTAGCCTTTTGTATTCGCTTACAAAGACTGCATTCCCTTTCCCTTCCATTCCTCAAATTTAAAATTAAAAAAAAGTATTTTAAAATTATTTTTAGAAATAATTTATAATATTGGGAGGATTTTTAGACATCCAAACTCTTCAAAAAAATTTCTATTTTTATTTACAATTTTAATTATGTACAAAAAACTAGAAAAAGATAGTAGGTACAAGCACTAGAAAAGTAAAAAAAATACATAAAGACTAATAATTAAATAAAATAAATTTGTAAAATACTTAAATTGTCTCTCAGATTGTCTCTCAATTTTTAAAAATTTTTTAAAAAATATTTAAAAAAAATATTCCTAAATATTAGGAAATTTTTTTGAATATTTATGAGAGACAATTTAGTCAATACAGGTATGTCACATGTAAATTTAAAAAAGAATTAAAAAAATTTTTTTTTAAATTATAGCAAAAAAATGAAGTGAATAGTATATTTTTAAGGGCACCCGCCCGAGTAGGCACGCGTCACAAAGCCATAGATTGCTTCAAGATTTCCGAATCCTACCAAATTTAGTATTAAACGATTCCTCTCATCGAACTAAAAAGATTGGTAGCAAATTTGTAAGGGTCAAAAATTTTCCAGCGAGTTATGGCTTTGCGCCGTTATGTCCGCGCGACTACTTGGGCGTGTCCCATATTTTTAATGTAAAGTGTATTAGAGCTGTCCAGGACCGAAAATTTGTTCAAGGTTGAAAAAACCCCCCAAGAAAAGTCTTAAATCAAGTCTCAAGACCAAGGGGCATGGACAGCTTCAAGTAAATATAAATTTATTTAAATATTAAGGGCACCTAATTATAGGCCATCTTTTCAAAAAAAAAATTTTATTTTCTAAAATAAAAATTTCTCTTTCTCAAATATCGATTTTTGAAAGCGTCATGAGATCCTCATCTTCCTGACTTTGTTCCAGTGAATCATCCTTTAAAAATTTTTTTTTGTGTTTTTTGTGTTTTGAGTATTTTTGTATTTTTTTGTGTTTTTTATTTTTGTGTTTTTTTGTGTTTTAACAAAATTTTAAACCCCCAAAAAATTTTATTTTACCATTTCCTCACTCAAATTCAAATCTCTCATTGCCTCATCAATTTTTTCTTTCAATTTTCCAGATATCCCATCCATTGATTTTGAATCTATTTCTGAAGACCAAGAACCACAAACAATTTTTGCTACAACCATTTCCTCGTTTGATTTAATAAATCCATTCATTTGGTAATGTTGTTGATGTTCTCTTTCGATTAAGACTGGGCAACACTTTTTTAGACCATTGACTTGGGAAATGAAGCTTTCGCAAGAGTCCTCATCTGTCTGGAAAATAAAAAATTTAATCAAAAAATACAAAAACACAAAATACAGAAACACAAAATACAGCCATAAAATACAAAAACAAGAAAATACATAAAATACAAAAAAAAACACAAAACACAGAAAATATAAAACACAAAAATACAAACAGAAACACAAAAAAATCAAAACCACAAAATACACACGAATACACAAACACAGAAACGGGTACCGGTGAGCTATAACTTTGTTTAAAATTGTCGAATCCGTGGCGCCCTGGTATGGTTCGATGCGGCTCTACCAGCTGAATTATACCATACCAGGTCGCCACGGACTCGACAATTTTAAACAAAGTTATAGCTCGGCGGTACATTGGGCTCGCGGTACACTTGTCTGTTTCTAACACAAAAATACAAAAAATACAAAAATTTTAAACTTACACATTCTGAAGATGTTGAAGAATTGGTATGGACATTGAAGCAAAATTGAGGTCCAAGCCACTTAAAAAATTTAAGAAATTTAACAGAAAAAAGCTATTTTTTACCAATCTTCTATGAGGCCCAGAATAAGTAATTACTTCCAAAAACGGAAGCCAATTCTTTTCCTGTTGTTTAATTTGGTTCTTCTCCTTGCTTTTTAAATATAATTTCATAAAAGAATTGTTTTGAGGAAGTGGAGGGTTAACTGCTTCAAAGTCTATAATACTGTTGCTTCTAAAATATAAAAAGTTTTACAATTTGTAAAAAATTCTCATAAACAATCGCAAATTAAATTTATTTTACAAATTAACGTTAAAAATTGTTTTTACAATTTGTAAAAAGGTTCTGAATATTTTAATGTTTAACAACGTGTTTTTACAATTTGTATGTTTTTGTAAGTTAAACATAGTTACAATTTGTAAAATAAGTTAACAAACCCCATTAAAATATAAAAACATGTTTTACAATTTGTACAATTTGTAAAAAGTTTCAAACATTAAAATGTTTTTCAACCATATTTTACAATTTGTAAAATATTAACATAAGCGATTGTAAATTAAACATAGTTTGATATTTTACGTTAAAACATGATTTTACAATTTGTAAAAAGATCTTTCTTTAAATAAAACTTGTTTTCACAACAACTTTTATCATTAAAACATGTTTTACAACTCTAAAAACATGTTTTTACAATTTGTAAAAAGTTCTTTCTTTAAAACTTGTTTTACAACAACTTTTATCATTAGAACTTGTTTTACAATCTGAAAACATGTTTTTACAATTTGTAAAAAGTTCTTTTTAATAAAACTTGTTTTCACAACAACTTTAATTATTTAAACATGTTTTACAACTCTAATTTATATTCAAAACATGTTTATATTCTCTACCTGCTCAATTCCCATTCAGTCATTCTAACCAACTTTGCATTGTTTATAGAATCATTAATTACAACATTGTTGCAATTATTGTTGTTGCTATTACTAATTCTTCTATTATCATTAATTGACAAACAACTTTTTCTATTACAACTGCCTCTTTCAAAATCGCAAGGTAAATCATTTGACAAGGATTTTTTTAGAATATTAATTGAATTATTTGTTTGTAAATTATTTGTAATATCTATTCCATATTGGGTTAATACACCATCACCTTCTAGCATTATTAAGGAAGAGACGATTGATGGGCGTTGTTGTTGCTTCTGTAAAAAGTAGGAAAAAAATTATTACAAATTGTAAAAGGTTGTGAATATATTAATATGTTTTTCAACTTGTTTTACAATTTGTAAAAATAGTTTACAAGCCTAATGAAACATATTTATGATTTTTACAATTTGTAAAAAAGGTTTGTAATAAGCAATTAAAAATTAAACTTGTTTTTACAATTTGTAAAAAAAGTTTTAAACCTATTAAAACATAAAAACAGTTTTTACAATTTGTAAAAACGTTCGAAACATGTTAATATGTTTTGCAACTTGTTTTACAATTTGTAAAAAAAGTTTTAAACCTATTAAAACATAAAAACAATTTCATAATCGCTTAAAAATTGAACTTGTTTTACAATTTGTAAACAAGTTTATAGCCATTAAAATCTAAAAACAGTTTTTACAAATTGTAAAAAAGTTCAAAACATGTTAATATATGTTTCGCAACTTGTTTTACAACTTGTAAAAAAAGTTTTTATAAGCAATAGTAAATTAGACATGTTTTACAATTTGTAAAAGAAGTCTGTCATAAGCATGGTAGATTAAACTTGTTTTACAATTTGTAAAAAAGTATATAAGCCTATTAAAATATAAAAAAGGTTTTTACAATTTGTAAAAAGTCAATATTACTTACGTGTTTTGCGATTTCTTTCTTAATCTTATTCTTAAACTTAGTTTTTCTAAATTAAAAATTGACTCAACTAATTTCAAAAAAAATATTAAAAAAAAAACAAATTTTTTAAATTTACATCAATTAAACTGTCAGTAAAAATGACAGCCCTTTTTGTTGTTGGTGAAACATCTTTGGAATTGTAATCATTTTTGTGATGGAGTCTACTGCCATTTGATGGTTGTAAAATATTTGGAGTATTGTCCGAAGCCCAAGCACTTTGAGAAAAAAATTTTTTTTATTTATTTTTAATTTTAGAGGTCAAAAAAAATTTAAAAAAAAAAATTCAAAATTTTTAGAATTTCAAAAAAAAATTTTTTCTTACCAAAAACTTTCAGAAGAAAATAATGCTTGTTTTGCCAATACTGACGAACACTATAAAAAATTAAATCGAATAAAATTAATTAAAAAATTATACCAATACAATAGGCTTAACATAATAGCTGGATACATGGGCATTAGACACTGTTCGTATTAAAGTTGAATTTTTTGTTCCAGGATGGATTCTATTAAAATATAAAAAAATTTTCATGTAAAATGATAAGGACTTACTCGCCAGGGAAGGTAACTTACTTACCCGCCAGGGAAGGTAAGTCAAGGAAAATTTAACCGGGGAAGCAGCGCTGTGGGAGAAAAAGGGGGGGGGGTGCTGGGGAGGATGTTGCTGGAGAGGAGTACTACGATAAAGAGGGTGGGAGAGCAGAGGTCGATCGGATATGATTAAAGTTCAGGAAATTGGAACTGTCGGAAATCGGAGATGGCTCAAAAGTCGGAACTCAGAAATCAGAAATTGTTCCAAAATTTCGGAAATCGGAAGGAAAAAACGTAGGAAATCTCAATCTGTCGGAGAGGGAGAAATTCTCAAACGTTTCAAACTCTCCAATATCAAAATAACAACCTCCTAATACAGCCTAAAAAATTTTTTTCAAAAAAATTCCCAAACCTAAAAGCTTGTTGATTATTTCCACCACTTCCACTATTACTATTACAATTTGCTGTTCTATTAATTATTCCAGCAGTTTTTTCAAAACGACTTTCTTTATTCATAAATTTGCCGTTATGTGTACGTGTTGTTACACGACCTCCATAAGGTGTAATGGCAAATAAATGGGTACTTCCATGATTTGTAGAAATTGCTACCCAACGGTTATCTGATGAAAAAACGCTGCTAATGACCTAAAAAATTAAAAAAAATTTCAAAAATTTCCAAAAATTTTCAAAAAAAATTTTTAAAGTTAAAAAATTTCTCAAAAAATTTTCCAAAAAATTTCTAGGGGTTAAAAATTTTCAAAAAAATTTTTAAAAAAATTTCTCGGGTTGAAAATTTTCAAAAAAAAAATTTCAAAAAACTTTTTGGGGGTTAAAAAATTTTCAAAAAATTTTCCGAAAATTTTTGACCCTCCGAAAATTTTCAAAAAAAAATTTTCAAAAATTTGGGGGTTAAAAAATTTTCGAAAAATTTCTAGGGGTTAAAAAATTTTTTTAATTTCAAAAAATCCAAAACCTTTGCAGTCGAATTTCCTCTCACAAGAGAATAAATATGTTGTATACATGAAAGAGCTGAATTCTTTGGGTGTATATGGACAAGAAAAACATTAAAAATTGTTGATGAACTAGAACCAGTTAGAAGCAATTGACCTCCCTTTCCAAACATTAAATGACCAATTTTTGAATTTTTATGAGCACAAAAATGTGCTAAATAGTCCAAATTGGAGTTAGTTTGATTCTGTAAAAATAAGAAAAATTGAAAAAAAATTTTAAGGAAATGAACAGTGTCCGCAAGATTTATCCGCAAATATTTTTGCACCACAAAGACTACCATGACATAAAAAGTGACCAGAAAAAGTGACAAATTAGAATATAAAAACCTAAGATGGGCCGTGTTACACAAAATCCAAAACCTTGACATTTTTTCGAAAAGAAATCCAAACTCTGATCCAAAGAAAATTAAGAAAATCTGATCTAAAACACGATTCGATTATTCTCTCAAACCAGCCAATCCCTGATAAAAACCCAATTCTAGTCCTAAAAAATGAAGAAAATTGTTGAGGTAACAGTGTAAAATTTAATTTGCGGACTTCTCGAAATGCGGACCTTCTCCTTCCTCTTAACACCTTCTTATTCTTGTCTCTAGAGAAAATTGCCCTACAATTTCAACACAAATAATCAAAAAGTTAACATAAACCCGAAAAAATTCGGACAAAAATTTTGTGGACACTCCGCAAGATTTGCGGACAAAAATTGCGGACATCACCCAAAAAACCAAATTAAACAAAACACACAAACCTTGTTCGTTTTAAAAGATGTTGAAAAATATTTTAAATTTGAATCAATATTTACAATTGTTACGAGTCCCGTTTTATTGTTGTTATTAATAATTCCATTATTATTTACATTCTTTAAAGGTGTAGTAATCGAGGAGACTAAAGAACCACCAAAAGAAGTCATTGTTTTGGTTATTTTTTTGGCTGTTAACATTACATGGTTGTCTGTTGAATGATTGTCACTAGAAAATCCGCAAGAAAGTAATGAATGTTTCCACTGAAAAAAATTTTAAAAAATGAAATGAGTTGACCAAATGGTCCTTTACCATTTTGAAAAGGCTAAAAATATTCCGTTTAAAGCCAAGGTTTTCTAAAATGTTTTTGACTGTGTTAGTCAGTGATCTTCCGATTCCAAGAAAAGTTTCCAAAAACCGCGGTTTCGGGCTCAACGTCTAATTGTAAGTCAAGGAACCAGGAAAAAAGTGGAATAGACAAGGAACCATGAAAAATTGGGACCGAACAAAAACTTGAATATCGGAACCGCCTTCGATTCTAAGGAGTCAGTATCCTTCTGGCTCCCAAATCATTGCTCAGGTTCTTGTTCATAATAGAGGAATACAAAAAATGGGATTGGCCAGGAATCAGAACCACAGAACCGTCTACGACTTTGTGAAAACCAGAAAAGCACTGAAATAACTATCCCCAATAAAAAATAGAAACAAACATTTTCATCAGCAAAAGCAAGGAAATTTCCTGACAAGGCAAACACTGGACATCCTTTTGGTATTTTTACACGTAAGCGTTCAATGAGGTCATTATTGTTGTAAATTATAATTATTTCGGCAAGCATTACCAAAAAACAGCTTTAAAAATTAAAAAATAATTGAAAAGTTAACCAAAATTTAGAGCAAACTTGGAAGAAAAATCAATCTCGACAATGTGGGTATCGAATTTATCACGTCGCCAAGTCTCTCCAGAACTCAAAGAAATAAAATTTAAAGTGTTCCCATCAGAAGAGTACTCCTCGAAAACGGAAGCAAATATTGGGCGATGAGTGGAGAGACTGAATGAGAAAATTGTTTATTAAATAGAGTCAAATTTCGCTATAAGAGACCCTCTTGGAGAAAGGCCCCCATACCTATAGGAACGAGAGATCCCCCTTATAACGAAGTGTCCTTTAAATAGGAGGTAGGGGTGTGCCAAACTGAATTTAAAAGACGAAAGACAAATGCTGAATGCGACAGTTAATTAAAACAAGAAAAGCGAAACAACAAAAAAAATGCTAAAATCAGCGAAAGGCAGAAATGGCACACCCATAATAGGGGGTATCATATAGAGACAATACACCTACCCAGTGGCAACCAAATTTTAACAAAAGTATCTTAAATTGAGGAGTACTTAGTCTTGAAGGTATTAGATTGGAGGTATCTTATAGCGAGGTTTGACTAATTTAAAAATTCAAAAAGAACCTGTCGACACCATCAACATTAAAAGGAAGAAGTAATCCATCTTTAAGAGGAGCGTTTCTGACAGAAATTATTTCTTCAAATTCACCATTTTCCTATTAAAAAAAGAATAAAAATTAAAGAAAATCAAAGTTTAAAAAACCATAAAATAAATTTGATATCCTCTTGCCAAACCAATAATAATCACAATAAGAGCAGAATCTTTGCCTTTCAAGCCTAAATTTGTAAAAGTTAATCGAAGACAAATTAAGGAAACTGTGAGAAAATTAAAAATTAAACCATTTATGACCATGAAATTAAATAAGAAACTGGTTATCATAGTTCCTAACCGCAAATAAAAAATAAAGGGGGCAAACGAACTCGAACCCACACCCCCACGTTATTAAAATTGAAAATTAAACCACTTAACCACGAAACCATTTAAAGACAACTAACAAAACCCAAGAGTCACCTGATGAATCACCTGACCATAAAAAATAAAGAGAGACAAACGGACTCGAACCCACTACTCCTAATTAGTAAAACTAAAAATTAAACCACTTAACCACGGAGTCGAAAAATGTATAAATCAATAAACTGTTGTCAATTCAACCCAAACCCCAATTAACTATAAAATTAAAAAAACCTAACCAGTCTGAAGATTTTGAATCTTTGCCCATTTTATTGGCTCATTAGTTGAATTCACATTAGTAATGACTTCATTGACAAAACCCGCAACAGAATCCGTCAGAGTAGATTTCCTTGAAAATTAAGGGGAAGTTAAGGGAATTAAGGGAATTCTAGAGAAATTCAAAGCAAAATACTTGGTTATTGGTTTTCCTTTAATCCGCTTCGGACTGTGATGAAAATTGGCTGTTAAATTGTTTGTGGAGCCATTTTCAAGAGGCACTCCCCCAACATTTTTGACATTTTTTACAAATTTGTGATTATCGTCTTTCTTAATTTTGTCATTTTTATTTGGCATAAGCGATTGTTTTAACTAAAATTGAAGAGAAATGAAGTATTACAAGTTAAAATGACAAATGATTAATTTTTTCGTTCCATATGATTGAAAGCAAAAAGCAATTTAACTAGTCGTATCCCCTCAAAATCTCTATTCCTTAAAATCTCTACGCAGCTAAAATGCCTTATAATCTCTACGCGGGTAAAATGCATTAAAATCTCTACTCGGCTAAAAATGATGAATATCTATTCCTTAAAATCTCTATTCCTCATAATCTCTACACGGGTAAAATGCCTTAAAATCTCTACACGGCCAAAAATATGATAAAATGTCTATTTTTTCATTCGGAAGCCTTTACAGTGCCAACTTTCAGTGCGGAAACGTTGCTCTGATTTCTGGTTTATCTTTTGGTATTATTTTGCTTGAATAGTGTCCAGCAGAACGATCAGGGTATGTCCAGCAGAACGACAGCAGCCGCTTCGATACGATCACTGCAAGCAAAATGAACACGACGCAGCGAAGCAGTCGCGTATTATATTTACGATATTTACGGCGGATACAGGCGGATATCCGCAGCCATTTTCAAATTAATTGTATCCATATCAGTATCCATCACCAAGTCTGGGTTTTCAAATGAAAAGTTTATATTTTACACTTTTGTTAAGACTCTATCGTCCATTTGCGCGGGGTAGAGATTTTAACTATTTTTACCCCAGTAGAGATTTTAAGGAATAGTTATTTTAAGGAATAGAGATTTTGTATGGGAGCCTAACTAGTAAAAGTGAAAAAATGTGCAATATAGCGACAGCGAGAAAGATAAAGGGAAATGAAGAGAGCGGTTAGAGAAAAGAATAAAGTTAGAGAAAAAGTTTAAAGAAATAGGACTTCCCTATATTTTTGACCAATACCACATTTTGCCAATTAGGCTAAAAATAGACATTTTGCCAAGAGGCCGTGTGACAAAATGGAAGGTTTTAGCCTAATTGGCAAAATGTGGAATTGGTAAAATAGAGATTTTGAAAAAGAAATAAAACTTTAAAAAACACATGACTGAATTTCAAAACGGTCAGAAGTGGAAAAAATACCATCTGGTCTACACTGCTTTAACGCCTTAAAATTAACATTGTCTTGATAAAAAGAAGAATAGAAAACATAATGGCATGTTTTGTTCTTCTGACCGAAGTGAAAAATGACCGAAATGTCTATATTATAAAGAAACTTCCGCGTCTATTTCCTATAATTATCCTCATTCTTTTCCTAGTATATTTCTCTGCTTTCTAAGAATTTTCTGTCTTTTCTTTTATCAATGTCACGACATTATGCCAATCCATATTCTGCCAATAAGGCTAAAAACCCGCATTTTGTCACTACGGCCTTATTGACAAAATGCGTGGTTTTAGCCTTATTGGCAAAATGTGTTTTGGCAAAATATGTATTAGTCTTTTTCTTTTATCAAAGGATGATGTGTCTCACCTCGTGCTATTAAAAACACAACGCCAACACTTTATTTAAATTAAAATCAATGCTTACATCATTTTATCGATTTTTTTAACTAGCCAAGCGGGCCATAACCGCTTTACACTCTCGCTCGGATTAAAAAGCTTTAGACAGGTGGAAGGCGTACGTTTGTGTGGATATAGAAGAGAAAGGTTTTTGCGACACAAGTGTGTGTGGATTGAACTAGAGCCACACACACAAGTGTCACATTTTTTTGTTTCCTTTCTCTCAAGGATTTTTTTCGACTTTTAAGACAAAAATTTTTCTTCTTTCCTTTCAACAATTTTTTTAAAAATTCTTTTTTGGGATCACACAAGCTTTTTAATCTTTTTGAGACATTAAAATGATCATCGATTATAGCGTTCATTAATTCCTTTAAAAGTTGAAAAGTTTGTTCTTTTTATGTTTGGGACTTGGTTAAATCTGTGGGCAAAGGCAGTGATTTTTGGGAAGCGCTGAATTTCGGGAAACTTTCCCTTAGGAAGTCTTGAAGAGGTGAGTTTTTGACGACTTTTAGTGAGAGGGTCACGCCCCACTTAACAACGCCCTACTTAACTTGATCTGTCCTGATTAGAGGTCTGAACCAAAGATGCTCCACGGGCAAGACTTCTATTCTTCTTGATCTGTCAAGGCTTTCTCTTAATCGTTCTCCACGGCATTCAAAGCATGGAAGACCGGGAAATAGCCAGCAAAACACCCATTCATAAGGTGGGTTACTGGGGCACCCGGCCAATGTTGGTGTGTTTATTTTGCCCAAGTCCTATTTCCAAAGAATTTAAAATTGGAATGCTGAGGGAATGTTCTCAAAATTGTCTTGTAAGCATTCAATCCACGGCTCTTTAAACATCGTCTATTTTTAAGATTTTATGCCTTGATCTTCCCTACATATTCTTGATTTTATGACTAAATTTTATTTTTCAGGAGGAAAATATTTTTTTCTAACTTGCAATATATTCTCTATTTATCTAGCATTATTTAACAATAATTAATTATTTAAAATGACTGACGTTGAAAAAATTAATTTGGACAATATTATAGCTCGGCTGCTTGAAGGTTTATTTTTATTTAAAATCGTGACCCCTCATAAATATAAAATTCAAAAGAGCTCGTCGAGCTGGGTATCACGTCATATGCTAAGAGAGAGAGAGCATCACGTCATACGCTTTCTCTTATATTTTCTGACCATTTCGGGCCTTATTTTGTGTTTCTCACCACTTAAGGGGTTGTGATAACGTCGAGCCCTTTTTTTAGGCTTTGATTATTTCGGCCCTATTTAGAGATTCTGACCATTTCGAGCCCTATTTAGAGATTCTGACCATTTCGAGCCCTATTTAGAGATTCTGACCATTTCGAGCCCTATTTAGAGATTCTGACCATTTCGAGCCCTATTTCTAGATTTTGACCTTTTTGAGCCCTATTTCTAGATTCTGACCATTTCGAGCCCTATTTCTAGATTTTGACCATTTTGAGCCCACTATATTTTGTAAATGCGTGGAGTCCTATAGGTCACCCAAAGTTGCTGCTGGCCCCTCATAATCCTGTTTTCATTCAAGTCAACTCGATAAGCTCTTTCGAATGACATTTACTTTGTCCATATTTTTGGCTGGTTCTTTTCTATTTTTCTTTAAACAATTTTTCAAAAATTTTTTTTTCAGTGAGAGGTTCAAAACCAGGAAAGAATGTTCAATTAACAGAAAATGAGATTAAAGGGCTTTGCGTAAAATCAAGAGAAATATTTCTCAGTCAACCCGTTCTTCTCGAACTTGAAGCTCCGCTAAAAATTTGTGGGGACGTTCACGGACAGTATTATGACCTCTTGCGACTTTTTGAATATGGAGGGTTTCCACCAGAGTCAAATTATCTATTTCTTGGTGATTATGTTGACAGGTTTGTGTTTTAGTTTTTGTTTCTGGGATCTTTTGTCTAGAACTTGTCTCTGGGCTAGTTTATGAGTCCAATAAGTCTTAAGGATACTAGACGATTTTTTGTTGTACTTGCAAAGCTTCATTGAACTCATAAACTTGACTAGAGTCTTCATTATAACCTGGACCCATAGAAACGCCAGTGGTCGTTTAGTCAGCAGCCATGCTGCTGGAAATTATTTTCCAATGATTAGTTTATGAGTTTCTAAATTTCGGACGTACTTTACTTTTTGACGAATACAAGGTTTTGGTTCTCGTAGGTTTCATAATTTCGCTGATTCTATGATCAATAGTTAAAAAATTCGGGTGACTCGTCGTTTTGATGCCCGTCGGTTCGCAACTTGTTGACGGTTCTAGGGTTACGTTCTTGGCGGTTCCACGTTTTTTGGTTTCATTTTAAGAACTGATTCTAGACCCATATGGACTGAACCTTTTCCCCATCCATGCGCCCCTGCCGTTGTTTCTAATAAACCTATCATTTTCCACTTTTTTAGAGGAAAACAATCTCTTGAAACAATTTGTCTTTTGTTGGCCTACAAAATTAAATATCCAGAGAATTTTTTTCTTTTACGTGGCAATCATGAATGTGCTTCAATTAATCGAATTTATGGATTTTATGACGAATGTAAACGCCGTTATAATATTAAACTTTGGAAGACTTTTACGGATTGTTTTAACTGCCTACCCGTTGCTGCAATAATTGATGAAAAAATATTTTGTTGTCATGGTGGACTTTCTCCAGGTTACTTTTTTAAACATTTGCGGACAAATCCATTTTTACGGATAAAAAATTGCGGACAAATCAAAATTTACGGACAAATCAATATTTGCGGACAAAAAATATTTGCGGATAAAAAAGTGTTTGCGGACATATTAATATTTGCGGACAAATCCATTTTTACGGATAAAAAATTGCGGACAAATCAAAATTTACGGACAAATCAATATTTGCGGACAAAAAATATTTGCGGATAAAAAAGTGTTTGCGGACATATTAATATTTGCGGACAAATCCATTTTTACGGACAAATCCATTTTGCGGACAAATCAATATTTGCGGACAAATCGATATTTGCGGACAAAATTTTCAACATTTTTTGTCCGCAAATTCTGTCCGCAAAACACTAAAATCAAAACTTTTTCTCTAAAGATCTTCAATCAATGGAACAAATACGCCGGTTATGTCGACCAACAGATGTGCCAGATCAAGGCTTGTTGTGTGACCTTCTTTGGTCTGATCCAGATAAGGATGTTAGCGGTTGGGGAGAAAATGATCGTGGAGTTAGTTTTACTTTTGGCCCCGAAGTTGTTTCTAAATTTTTGCACAAACATGATCTTGATCTCATATGTCGTGCACATCAGGTTTTTTTTAATTTTTTGAAAATTTTATAACCCGCCATAATGTCAAATCCCCAAAAGCTCACGAAATTTTGAACTAGGAAAAAGACGCCGGAATTTTTTGACCTTCCTGGAAGTTTTCTGGGCCTGGGGGTTTTCCTGGACTACAGGCCCATGCTTAGGCAATTTTTTGTGATTTTCCTGAGGTTTTCATGGGCGTTGGTTTTTCCTGCACCTAGAGTCAATGCCTAGGCAATTTTTTGGTTTTCATGGGGTTTTAATGGGCCCGTGGTTTTCCTGGACTAGAGGCCCAAGTTCTGGCCTAGGTCAATAAATCAATCCCAATTTTGTTGGAAAAATTTTTTTCTTTTTTTAAAGGTTGTTGAAGACGGCTATGAATTTTTTGCAAAGCGCCAATTAGTGACTCTATTTTCTGCCCCAAATTATTGTGGTGAATTTGACAATGCTGGATCTATGATGGTTTCTTTTTTTTAATTTTTTTTTGAAATTAATTTAAAAAAATTTTTTTAGACTGTCGATGAGACCTTGATGTGCTCTTTCCAAGTAAATTAAAAAAATTTTTTTTTGGTAAATAGCTGGTACCTAAGAAATTTGGGGAGTACTTTGGTTATTCAAAATAGTACCCGAAAACCTCGTGGGCGATTTTTTCCGCATTAGCAGAGAACTAGTGGAATATGTGTAACCCCCTCCCCCTCCCAGAAATCGGCCTTCTGGCTACGCCCTTGATCCACCAGAGATATGTAGACTGGGTTAAGAAAAAAATCGTGACGGGGTTCGGTTTGAAGTTTCACTATTTTCTTGGATCGGGGGTTCGGGTCGGAAAAAGTCAAGATTCCGGGTAACCCAATCCGTCCCTAATATCCACACTATAGCTTATTAGTTCGGAACTGAGCTGAAGAATCGTTGATTTTTTCATTCGCTTCTTCGGTCCAGTTACAGATAGGTATCTCTGTCCGCAAAAAACTTTATGTCCGCAAGTTTTTTGCGGACAAGAAGGAACTTGCGGACATGAAAAAAGCTTGCGGACATATAAACAGCTCTAATCCTTATATTTTTCTAGATACTTAAACCATCAGACAAGAAGTCTAAATTCCCTTATACTGGTGTAGGTCAAAATCGACCAGTTACTCCACCTCGGGCAGCGCCAGCTGAACAAAATAAAAAGACTAAAAAGTGATTTTTTAATAAAAAAAAAGTTTAATTTTTGTGTGTTGTAGGTGTTTTTTTTGTTTAGAGTTCGTGGCTTTCTTCTTAATATGGGCTGGTTGAGTTTTCAAGGGTTTTTTTTTGTTAAAGCCTGATCGAGGCGGCAGATTTTCAGGAGTTAAAACTACTAGGGTCGGAACTTGAACCCGAACTTTTCGACCCTGACTACAGACACCGAATTTTTTAACTCCGAACTTTCCGGTTTTTAAAAAATTATGTCTGCAAGTTTTTTTGCGGGCAAGAAGAAACTTGCGGACTAAACCTTGTGGGTATTTTTGCTTAAATGGTTCGAACTTGTGTCGAAAAGTTCGACCTCGAACCGACTCCTCAAACCGGTTAGAGCTCTCTCGTGCCCTGTTGTCCGAACTCTAAAGTCTAAGAGTTCGACCACGAACGGCTCCTTACTCTTCAACCTCTTAAATGGCGAGTTTCAACCCTGGGTTAAAAACCCTTTAAATTTTGAAAATCTGTGGTGTTTACTGTTAAAGTCTCCTGCCCTTGTTGTCCGAACTCTAGAAAAGTGTTTTTTTATATAAATATATTTTTTTATATATTTTCCTACCCTCTATCTTTTTTTTTCTTCTTACAATCACACACACACACACCTCCTCTTCGAATTTTTTTTCTGAATTCTTGTCTTTTTTGATATATAACATCAAACAAAATCCCTTTCTTATGTCTCCTTTATTAAAAAAAACGCTTAAAATATAACGAAGGAAAGGACGAAAAAAATGTTTAGAATAAAAAAATGTTTTTTTTTTGAAAAATTTTTTGGAGGGCATGCCATTTTACTTTTTTTTATTTTTAGTCTGATTAAGTGAGTATTTGGACTTTGTCCGCAAAAAAATGTCCGCAAAAATCAAAATAAAATTCAAACCACTCAAAATTTGCTAGAAAAATTTTTTTTCCATGTCTAGATCATTTTTTAATAAAATTTTTTAAATTTGTCCGCAAATAAAATTGCGGACAATTATATTTTTTTTGCGGACGACTCATTTTTACGGTCAGATTATTTTTTTACATTTTGTCCGTAAACTAAAATAAGTAAAATCTTTTCAAACAAACTAAGAAGATGTAAAATTTCTGTGTTTGTCCGCAAAAAATTTGCGGACATTATTTGCGGATTTTTTAATCTTTTTGCGGACAAAATTAAAATTACTTTTATTAGTCCATTTTTCGTAGAAATTTTTTTTTCTTAGACACTTGGGCCATTCTTACTCATTTTCAGTTTAGATTTGAATCTAAAAAGGTGACATGGCATGCCATTTTTTTTGTTTTATTTTACACATAAATGCATCTTCTGCATTAATATCTTTAAAAAAATTTTTTTTTTTAATTTTAAAATTTTATTTATTAAAAAAAAAGCAAAAACTAGAGATCTCTTCAAAACCGCAAAAAGAATTCTCAAAAAAATGTCAACAGGAGTGCTATCTTTTGTTAAGGGCATAGATTTGTCTTCAAATGATTTTTCTGGTGATCGTTTCCCAAATGAAGTTGTTGCAATGACACAAGCAACTTGGCTAAAATTAAATAAGACACAATTGGAAAGGGTGCCTGATGTGCTGTCTAATTTAAAAAATTTGGAACACCTTCAAATGATTAATAATAAATTACAGGTTTTTTAAAAAAATTTTTTTTGGGTTTTGGGTTGGAATTTTAGGGGCTTGATAGACTAATTTTTATTAGACGAGAAATCCGCATTTTTTGTCCGCAAATTAATGGACGGCCCAACTTGCGGATTTTAAATCGTTAACAGATTTTACTAGCTTTTGTTTGCAGTTTTGCGGTTTACTGGAATATACATAGAGTCTGCAACAGACTTGCTGACATAACTAACTTACGGATTTTTAAGGATTTTTACTTCAAACCCCCCTAAATTTACGCAATCCGCAATTGCGTGCAGCCCTGAGCAGGAACCTACTATGGATAGTCTCTTTCGGTGAACTCGAAAGCAAATTCCAAATCCCTTAACATATAAGTTTTACTAAATTCCTTTTTATCCGCAAAAAAAATTTGCGGACACAATTTGCGGACTTTTTTTTAAGCCGACCTAGGGTTTTAAGACCAGTTATATTTCCTAACTTTAACAAAAAAAAATTTTTTTTGCAGAATGTCCACGGTGAATTGTCTGATCTACCTCTTTTGAGATCTGTGGTAGTACGCAAAAATCAAATAAAAACGTCGGGTGTTCCAACAGATATTTTCCGAATGAAGGATTTGACAATTATTGATTTTGGTGATAATTTATTGAGGGATGTCCCTTCCAATTTGGAATATGCAAAATGTGCAATTGTTTTAAATTTACGTGGTAACAATATTCAAAATATACCAAATCAGGTCTGTTTTATTTTTGAAATATTTTGAAATTTGCGGATTTTGTCCGCAAAAAAATTTTTTTGTCCGCAAAATATTACGGTCTGACCTCGTAATACCAAAACGGCGAAATGTCAAATGCCTACCAAATAAATACCAAATTGTTAACCTTTAGCCGCTGTCTGAAACTATTTTTCTCGTCGTTGAAATAACCTCTCCCCCGTAGTTGGAACCACACATTCTACTTATGTTAGTTTGGCATTATGCCGTCATCCCTGCAATTTAGAATTTCGATGTTTTGGCATTCTACGCTACGTCCCTTTCATGACAGCTAAATTGTTTAGATTTTATCCGTAAACAAGTTGTGTGCCTCCATGTCTTAAAATTTTTGTCCGCAAAGAAAACTTGCGGACAAAAATTGTTTGCGGACAGAAATTTTTGTCCGCAAATTTTTTGCGGACAATTTTCACACATAAACAACTTTTTTAAAACCTCTTCAGATCTTCTCCAATCTAATCGATCTCATCTACCTCGATTTGAGCAACAACAACCTTGACAGCCTTCCCCCACAACTTCGACGCCTAACTAGTTTACAAGTATTGAAGTTATCAAATAACCCATTAACTCATTTTCAATTTAAACAAGCACCAGGGTATGATTTTTTTATTTTTTTAAATTTTTTGTCCGCAAATTTTTTGCGGACAAAAAATTTTTTATAAAATTTTGCGGACATGTCTGAAAAATTTATTTTGGACAGACTTTTAAAAAAATTCTCATGTCCGCAAAATTTGTCCGCAAAAAATTTGCGGACAAATTATTAAATTTTAAAAATTAAATTTTATTTTTTAAAGTTCAACCAAACTACGAGTAATTGAATTAAAAAATACTCACAGAACTCTACAAAATTTGACGCTTAATTTTGAGGAAGTTCAAAACCTACAGGTTTATTCAAAAATTTTTTTTGTTTTTACCCATGAGAGGTTTTTAAGAGTTTGCGGATTATTTAAAATTTCAATAAAATTTGCGGATTTTTCTTGCGGACTTTTATTTGCGGACTTTTTCTAATTAATGGAATTTTGTCCGCAAATTTTTTTGCGGACAAATTGAGAAAGTTTTCTTTTATCCGCAAAATTTGTCCGCAAATTTTTTGCGGACTGTTAAAAAAAATTCTCCTTATGTCCGCAAAATTTGTCCGCAAATTTTGTCCGCAAATTCATATTTTTATTTTTGCGGATTTTTAAAAACATCTCGGATAATTTTCGAATTTTTCTGCCTCTACAAGTGTCAAATTTATTTGATTAATGTTCTTGACCTTTTTTTAAAATTTTATTGGTTAATGTAAGCAATACCCTCTTTTTTAAGCCTATTCCTTTGGGAATGAACACCCACGCTATTTTTTAAATAAAAAAAGTCTCATGTTGCTTTAGTTGATCTTTAATGTTTTGTGGGGTTTTAAGGGAAGGGAAATGGCATGAATGTAATTTTGAAAAAAAAATTTTTTTTGGGAAATGAAAAAAAATTTTTTTCTGGGAAATGAAAGAAAAATATTGGGAAAAGGACAAAAAAGGGGGGATGTTAAAGGGCAGGAAATAAAAATAGGACATTTTAAATATTACCAAAAAAATTTTTTTCTGTTTAAGACAATAGGAAAAATGGCCATCTTTTATTAAAATTGAATTTCATTTTTAGACAAGACTGAAAAAATTTTTCCCTGCATTATACTGAGGGGATACCTTAAAAATTTACTTTAAATACAGGTGTCGCTTATTTGTTAGGTAGTTGCTCAACCCAGTTTTTGTGAAATTTTTTGGGAAAATCCGCAAGTTTTTTGCGGACAAAAAATTTTTTTAATTTTGTCCGCTATCTTGAGGGGTATTCAATAATTTGAGGGGTATTTAGTTTTGGAGGTATTTTATAAATTAAGTAAATTCTTGGTTGTGTCCGCAATATTTTGTCCGCAAATTTTGTCTGCAAAAATTTTGCGGACAAAATTTTGCGGACAAAAAAAATTTTTTTTTTAATTTTTTAAAGGAAGTAAATCTTGCAATGAATGAATTAACAAAAATTCCTGAATCAATTTTTTCTCTCAAAAACCTTCGAAAATTGGATCTCAGTTTTAACAAATTAACAAAATTGGATTTTGTAGAAGGAACATGGCCAAATTTGGAAACTTTTAATTTATCTGGAAATGATTTAGAAGCTTTACCTTCACAAATAATTGCTTGTGTTAAATTACAGAGACTATATGCAAATTATAATAAATTGAATTTTGAAGGTTTGTGGATTTAAAAAATTTTTGAAAATTTTTGTCCGCAAGTTTTGTCTGCAAAAAATTTGCGGACAAAAATAATTTTTTGCGGATATTTTTTTTAATTTTTAATAATATGTCATGTCATGCGAAAAAAATAAACTTGAAATTGTTGAAACATTTTTTTCAAAATTTTTTTGATTGGACTAAAAAATTTGGTAATAATCGTGTGAGAAAAAGAGTCTAAAAATCATTTTTTTATATTTTTTATTTTTATTTGTTCTCTTCACGAAAAATAATAAAAATAAAATAGCCAAAATAAATGATTTTGAATACTTGAAATTGAAAATGGTGTGAGTAGAAAAATAGTCGCGAGTTTGCTTTATTTTGAAAAAGTCCGCAAGTTTTTGCGGACAAAACTTGCGGACAAATTTTTTCAAATTTTTTTAAAGGTCTTCCCGCCGGTTTTGGTAAATTAATGCAACTTCAAGTTTTATTTTTATCTCACAACAATTTGGAATTAATTCCTGAAGGTGTTGGAAGGTGTGTAAAATTGAGAAAACTTAAATTGGATAATAACCGTTTAATAACTCTACCTGAAGGAATCCATTTACTTCCAGATTTGAAGGAATTGGATCTTCGAAAGTTTGTTTTTTCTAATTTTATTTAACATAAAATCCACCTGGTTGTGGTTTGCAAAAATTTTGTTTGTCTCTCCGCAATTTTTTGCGGACAAATTGTGATAATTAAACATTTTTAAGTGATCCTCCGAGGTCCAATGGGCCTTTAAACTTTTATTACCCAGTTGGTTTGGAGAATGGCTTTAGGTCCCGGACGTTAAGCATGTTTACGGAACCCAACGATAAGCTTGAAATTTAGGGAAACGGACTTTTTGTTTAAGTCAGTAAGAAAAAAGACCGCAAAAAATTTGCGGACAAATTTGTCCGCAAAAAATTTGCGCACTTTTTTTAGTCAGAAATTTTTTTTAGTAATCCTGACCTTGTAATGCCACCTAAACCAAGTGATAAACAAAAAGCTTTGGCTTTCTACAATATTGACTTTTCTTTACAAAATCAGGTTTTTTGAGGCCTACATAAAAATTAAAAAAAAATTTTTTTCAAGTTGAGAATTGCTGGGCAAACAACAACTTCAGCTACCACCCTTTCCGAAAAAGATATTAGTAGTGGTGGGGGACCTAAAGATGCTGCTCAAAGAAAAAAAGAATTTATAAGGAGAAGAAGACATCAAGCAGATCAGGATAGTGCTTCTAAAGTTATTCAGGTTTTTTTTTTTTGAAAAAATTTTTTGAGGGGTATAGGAAATTTTTTGGAAAATTTTTTCGGAAATTTTTGAGGGAGGGAGGGGGGTTTCGAAATTTTTTCTTGAAAAATTACTAAAATTTTGAAAATTATTTTGAAATTTTTTTTTAATTGGGGTGAGGGAGGGGCTTGGAAAAAAATTTTTAAATTTTGAAAATTTGCTGATTTTAGGGAATGTCTAAAGTAGCAAAGGATGCATTTGACAAAGGCCAATCTATTGAATTAAATGATGAAAATGATGCTTCTGCTCTTGGTCAGATTAGTTGGAAGGTTTGTTTGGATTTTTTTAATTTTTTAGTAATAGTACGAGAAAGTAATTAACACGAAAAGTAATTTTATGGAGAGAAAGTCAAGCAGTTTAATTAATTTTTTTTAAAAGTTGATTGTCTGCTGGGTGGCGATACCTTCCTTTCTTGTCACGAAAATCGCCTTAAAAGATTTTTTAAAAATTTATGGACTCTTAAAATATTATTTAAAATGTTTATTTTATGTTTTATTTTATTTACTTAATTAAAAAATATCAATTAACCATGAGAGGATTCGAACCCATGACCTAAACGATTTTGTAGCAGCGCTTTTATCCACTTAACCAAAATTAAAAATTTTCTCCTATGGTCCCTGTGTCGATCCCCTTCAATTAAAAAAAATTTTTTTAAGGAAAAATTGGCAAAACAAAAGCCTCGCCTCGACTATTCAGACGTTTTTGATGATGAAATTGGTTCCTGTGATAATTTGTGGATGTGGGAAATTGAAAATTTTTATCCGGCATTAATTGACCCTCGAGAACATGGACAATTTTATGAAGCTGATAGTTATTTAATTTTGAAAACAACTAGAGAACCTAGTGGAAGTTTAACTCATGCAATATATTATTGGATTGGGGAAAAGACGAGTTTGGACAAGGTTTTTTTATTTTTTTTTGATGGAGGGGGGAGGGGTGGAGGGTAAAAAATACTTGGAAATGTTTGAAGAGTCAAAAAAAGGCATATCTAAAACCGGGTTTGGTCAGTTTATCCGATACCCAAACCTGGGACCCGAAACTCGGTCCGATGAGAATTTAAAAATCCCTACTCATCCCTGATTTATAGGACATTTCAAAGTTGCTATTTTTTTATCAGCTAATTTTGGTACGAGCATCCCAGAATTGTCTTTAAGTCAGATTTTAAGGAGCACAAGAGAGTGAATGTGTTTAGGTTGAGTCGAGGTTGGGGAGAAAGTCAAGTTGAGGAGTTTCCGGGCCAGTTTTTCATATTTTTTGGATAGGGGTTTTCGGGTCGAAGAAAAGTAGAGACTTGGGTACCCGATCCATCACTAGTGTGCGTGAATGTGTCTCCCCTTGGCGCCGAAAAAAATCCTAGCTAAGGGCCTATGGGTCTGGGGTATGCCAATTTCGTCTTTACTCTTTTGCCGAATTTCGCCTTTTTGGTGTTTCGTCTTTCGTTTCATAATCGGTTTTTTCAGGCAATGTGTGCAGCTGTTCACGCAGTAAACCTAAGAAATCACCTTGGAGCATCTTGCAGGTTTCTTTAAAAATTTTGTAAATTTTAATTTTTTAATTTTTTAAAGAACAATAAGGGAAGAAATGAACGATGAATCTGATGAATTTTTGGAATTGTTTAGTGAAGAAATTGTAAGGAGGTTTTTTTTTAATTTTTGAGGATATATATTGAAGGGCTCAGGCAGGGTTGTTCTTGGGTCGTTCTGTACGTATCGTTGTTTCGTATTTTTTGAGTTTTGTTTTGTTTAGTGTATGAACAGAGTTTTGTGGTTTTTTAAATTTCGAGGTTTTCTTTCGAAACAGCTTTGTTTTGTTTCTTATGAAAAAAGTTGGAGGATCTTTAGGGATTTAATATTGTATTGTTATAAGGCAATAAAATTGCGTGTCGGGCTTATAAATTAGGACGCCAAAAAATATAATTTTTTTTTCTTTTTTTAAGATTTATTTTGACGGTGCAAAAATGCAATCAGGATTTTATGTTGTTGAAAAAGCTCCTTTTGTTAAAAAGTTTGTAATTTTTTTTTAATGAGTCGAAGAGCTCCCGTCCCTCCCGAAATGGGTGAAAAATGGAAAAAATTGATAAAAAAAAATTGAAAATTTTTTTGCCTACGACCTTCCAAATTAAAAAAAAATTTTTTCGCCTGCGGCGCTTCAAAATAAAAATATAGTTTTAAAAAAATTTGCCGAATGGATTTTATTAAAAAAATTTTTTTTAATTTTTTAATTTTAAGGCTCTATCGTGCATATATTAATGGGCCTTCAGTAGAAATGGAAGCTGTGCCGCTTAGCCCAGAATCTCTCGACCCTCGTTTTGTTTTTTTGTTGGATGCTGATAAAATTATTTGGATATGGAGTGGATCGCGTTCCAGGGTTTTTTTTAATTTCATTTTTAATAAATAATTAGAAAATGAAAATTTTGCGGACATTTTTTGCTGACTTTTTGTTGCATCTTTTTTTGCGGATTTTTTTTTGCGGACATTTTTTGCGGATTTTCTCTTGCGGACATTTTTCTTGCGGACATTTTTTGCGGACTTTTCTTGCGGATTTTCTCTTGCGGACATTTTTCTTGCGGACTTTTTTTTGCGGATTTTTTGCGGATTTTTTTTGCGGATTTCTTCTACTTTTTTTGCATATTTTTTGCGGACGTCTGCAAAAAAGTAGCAGAAAATACCACAAAAAATCCGCAAGATTTGTCCGCAATAAAATTCGCAAAAAATGTCCGCAAATTTTTTTATGGACCCTAAGCTTAAAAAAATTAATTTAAAAATATTTTTTGCAGGTAACATTCTCAAATAAAGTTCGTTTGTTTGCTGTAAAAATGAATAAAAGAGATAAAAAAGGAAAAGCAGAAATTGAATCTTGTAATCAATTGAAAACACCTGATGAATTTTGGGAGGCTTTAACAGGTTTATTTTTTATAAATTTTAGAGAAGCCCCTCCTACCAAGGTCTGTTTTTTTTGTTTTTGTTAGCCTGAGCGAGACGAGTATTTTATAAAATTTGATTTTCGGAGTTTAGCCCGTAAAACTCGGCCCGGGATTTGTCTGAAAAGTTCTGGCCATTTCTTTTGTCCGCAAAAAATTTGCGGACAAAAATTTTTGCGTAGTTTTGGACTACTCACTCATTTTTTTTGTTTACTCCCAAAATTGGATAAGCCACCATCTTTAATGTTTAAAAAATTTATTTAGGCTCCAAAACAAAGCCGGAAGAACCTATATTTGAACATATCCCAGAAGATCACAAGCCTGAACGTAAAAGATTGTACGAAGTACAGCTTGGAATGGGTTATGTAGAATTGCCTCAAATTGAATTGAAAAATGATATTTTGTACAAGGAAATGTTGAAACCTAAATGGTTAGTTTTTTTTTTATTTTAAAGGGGTTTATGGTGCCATGACATGGATTTAATTGTTCTAGAACTAGGCATATTGGAATTCTAAATAATATTTTTGCGGACAAATATTAGTGGACAGACGTTTCCCTACATAGTTCTGCTGCCAAATTTTTTTGTTGAACAAACATTTTTACGGATAAATTTTATGGAACAAAAAAACAGACAGACATAAATGTCTGCGAGCAGATATATTTTAGGACAAAAATCTTGCAGACAAAAATCTTTGCGGACAAATAACGTTTTTGCGGACAAATAATATTTTTGCGGACAACACTTGCGGACAAATGTTTGCGGACAAAATTTTTGTATACAAATTAGATATTCTATTTTTTAAGTCTGATGAGCAGATTACCAACAAATATGATTTTTTTAGTTTCATTTTTGTCCGCAAATATTTTTCTGGAAATTTATTTTTTCTAGAATTAAGATTAATCATGTTTTTTCAGTGTATTTATACTTGATTGTACTTCTGAACTTTTTGTTTGGATTGGGAAAAAAGCTAGTAGATTATTAAAAATGGCTGGACAGGTTTTTATTTTTTGTGAAAATTTTTATTTGCGGACAAAAAATTTTGTCCGCAAAATTTTTGCGGATTGTCCGCAAATTTTTTGCGGACAAATTTTTTTTTCTAGAAAAATTTTTTTAAAGAAAATGGCAACAGAATTTCATCAAATCATAGAAAGACCAGAATTTTGTACAATTTGTCGTGAAATAGAAGGAGAGGAATCGACAGTTTTTCGTTCAAAATTTTCTTCTTGGGATGATATTGTGCCTTTTGATTTTACAATGACTGCGGATACTGTTCAGAGAAGAGGAGCTGATATTAAGGTTTTTAATTATTTTTTATAAAAGCATAGGGTGGTAGGTGGAGATTTCAAGGAGTAAAAAAAATTTTACGGATAAATAAACAAAATTTGTCCGCAAATTTTTTGCGGACAAAAAATTTTGTCCGCAAATTTTTTGCGGACAAAAAATTTTGTCCGCAAATTTTTTGCGGACAAAAAATTTTCGTCAAGGGCGAGAAAGTCGGTAGACCATCTGTGACAAGGGTAGGCCGGGTGTTGAAAAATAGAATGGTCCGCATTGTCCGTACGAGATTTTTTTATGAGGAAATTTTTATTAAATATTTTTTTTCTAAGGTGATTATGGAAAGAGACAAAATGAAGACAGATTTGGTAGCCTTATTCCTTGACCGTTTACCAACTATGCCACATGAAGAAGCTGACCAATTAATTGAAGATTTTAATTTGGATTTGGAAGTTATTGAATCTTTTGTTTTGGTATTTTTTAAATTAAAGAAATTTTTGGTTCTTGTCCGTAACTTCTGTCCGCAAATATTTCATATGTCCGCAAGTTTTCCACAATTCTTAGATGTCCGCAAATTTCATAAATGTCCGCAATTTGTGTCTGTAATTTTTAAAATTGAACGCATATTTTTACAGAACCCTTTAAAAATGTCTGCAAGAAAAAATTGGTTCGCCATTGACTGTGGTATTTTCTGGAACCTTTTTGGGAACATATAAATGAAAAGGGCCAAAATTTTTTTCAAAAATTAAAATAATATTTTTTAGGAAGGCAAAAAATTCGTTCGTCTTCCAAAAGAAGAATTGGGTATTTTCTATACAATGGATTGCTATGTTTTTCTATGTCGTTATTTTGATTATAATGAAGAATTGAGTGAAAATGAAAGTAAAGGAAGTGTTGAGGTTTTTTAATTGTTTAAAATTAAGAACTTCCCACTACTAGGTCGGTTCATAAAAAAGTTCGTTTTTTGTTATCGCAAGTTTTTTGGGTGATAACTATTTTTATCCCATTTTATTTTTATCTTATTTTGTAGCCCAGAGTCTTAGCTTTCTAATGATACCAAAATTTTAAAAATATCAAAGATCAAAAAAATTTTATGCCTTCAGAAGTGAGCGTGGGTAAGGGGAATATTTAGGGGCAGTTACACATCCCATTAAAACTAAGTAATAATGCAATATTGGCATCAAGAAAAATCAATGAAATGATAGGCAGGGATCTTGTCTAACCTAGTGTAGTTCAAAAATTTTTCAAAAAAATTCGATCTGGGAACAATAGGACCAAACGCAAACTTGGTCCGGGAAGGCCACCGACTGTAAACAAACACGTCCTTCCTTGTCGGTTAGAATGATATCCGGATATTTTTTTGACAGTATTGTAGCGGGGACATTGCTCTATAAGTACAATATAGCAAGTGTCGAAAAAAACGGATTGTGAGCCAAGGAGGACAAATAGAGTAATGCACCAACCGACTGGGAGACAAAAACAACAGGGACTTTTTTTTAGCCTTTCAAGCCTGGATAACTATCGAAAGGGTTGTTCATGGAACCGGATTGTTACCTAAGTTTAAACATATGCCAATTACGATAATAATATACAAAAATTGTTTGGAGGAAAAAATATTAAGACCCTCTTTTGGTCCCCCGCCCAACCAACTACCCAAAAAACGTATGTTGTGTATTCTTTTGGATGGTGCTCGGTCCGTTGATGACGGAGGTACTTCAAATTGGTACCACTACAAACTCCAACATGCATATTAACTAACTCATCCAGGGAGATTTCGTTTGTTACCTTCAACGTCGCCAGGGACTGATTATTAGACCTCTGGTTTTCCATTAAAATAACGCTCCTTTGCACCGCTCATTTTTGACGACCTGCCATACCCCAAATAAACTTTCTTGGAAAGTGTTACCCCACCCCCCTTGTAGCCCTGAGTCTGCTCTATCAGATTAACATCATTTCACTTCTTCAAAAAAATTTTTACGGGACGGGCACTTGGCTGAAAACGCCAAGGTCGAGACTGTGGTGAGGAAGACAGTGCTTCAGAAATGGGGTCAGATTTTTTTAAAAAGAGGTATCCACAAACTTTTTTCTGGTTTAAGAATGTTGTTAAGACTCGGGACAATTATTTAGTAAGGTTAGATTTTTTATCTGTTTTAGTTTGCTTGAGATTTATCGATTTTTCTTGGAAAATAAATTTTTGGAAAAAACGAACTTTTTTATGAACCGACCTAGTATAAGATAACTCTTGAAGCCCAAATATTCGCAAGTTTTAAAAAAGTTTGCAAATTCTGTCCACACGTTTAAAATGTCTGCAGGATTTGTCCACCAATTTTTCGGCATGGGTTGTCCGCAAGTTTAAAAAATGTCCGCAACTTTTGTCCGCAAATAATTTTTTTAATTTATGGCTTGTGATTCTTATTGAGTTGTATATTTTGAGGGAGTGTGTCTTATAGTGAGGTCTGATTTTGAAAAATAAATTTTTTTCAGGGAGGAAATGGAGGAGACGTATCGGAAGAAGAAGACAAAGAAGTTGATTTCAAGTGTGTAGTCTATTTTTGGCAAGGAAGAGAAGCTAGTAATATGGGATGGTTAAATTTTACTTTTTCTTTGAAGGTTTTTTTAATTTTTAAGAATTTTAAGATTTTTTTAAATTTTAGAGAAAATTTGAAACCCTATTTAAAGACAAGCTTGAAGTGGTTTGTTATTTTTAATTTAATTTTTTTAATAAATTATAGTCTCTAAAATGAAAAAGTTAACTAGTTGTGGTGGTGGTGTAATGGTTAAGGTGTTTGATTTTTGAGGGGAATGGGTAAAGGTTCGATTCCTTTTGTGGTCCTTGTGGTATGATTAGGCCTGGGTGGTCGGTTAATATTTCAGAAAATTTTTTCAGATTTTTTGGACAGTAAGAAATATTTTTTAAAATTTCCCCTGACCCATCCCCTTGAAAAAATTTTTATAAAATTTTAATTTTTCAGGTTCGAATGAATCAACAACAAGAAAATCACAAATTTTTGTCTCATTTTAAAAGGAAAATTCTTATAAGGCGTGGACGTCGAGAAGCAACACTTAAATTGAATGAACCAGAACTTTTTCATATGAGAGCAAATGGGTAAATTTATAAAAAAAATTTTGGAAAGAAATCCACAAAAATTTTGCGGACAAAAAATTTTTTGCGGACAACTTTTGCGGACAAAAAATTTTTTTGCGGACAACTTTTGCGGATAATTGCCCTAAATTTTTTATTAGAAGCAGTATCTGTACCAGAACAATACAAGTCGAATGCCGTGTATCTAGTCTCAACTCTGCTTTTTGTTATATTCTTAGAACGCCTTGTTCTGATGGGGATGAATCCGGTGTTATTTATGTTTGGAAAGGTTCTAAATGTGATTCCTATTTTTTCAAAATTGCTGAAGAGGTTTTTATTTTTTTAAAGTCGGCATTTGATATTTGCGGACAATTTTTGCGGACATACGTCTCTGATTTTTTCTGTTCTGATTTCATTTTCGCCTAGTCACCCACTCGAGTTTTTGAGTTTTTTTTGTTAATTGAGTAATTATGTCCGCATCCGCAAAAAAATTTGCGGACAAATAAATTTTTGCGGACAACAAAATTTTTTTGCGGACAAAAAATTTTTTTTGCGGACAATAGAATTTGCGGACAAAAAGTTTTCTTGACAGAATTTTTTGCGGACAAAAAAAATTGCGGACAAGAGAATTTTTGCAAACAAAATTTGTTTTGATGAATAATAGAGCTCGATTTGCGGAGAAACACTAGTCCTAAAAATTTGCGGACAATTTTTGCGGACACAAACTAGACTTTCTATGTATTTCTCTTTTTAGTTATGATTTTTTATTCCTATATTCTGAAATTAATTCTGATTTTTCGTTTCTGATTTTTCCCTTCTTTTTTGGGTTATTGGGTGTTTGTCCGCAAATTTTGTCCGCAAAAAAATTTTATTTTTTTGAAAAATTAAATTTTATTATTTAAAAAAAGGTTGCAAATGAACTAGTAAAAAAAGATTTAAAATTGCCCATTGAAATAATTGAAGAAGGAAAAGAGCCCCAATTATTTTGGCAAACCTTGGGAGGAGGAAAGAACAGAAAATATGATAAAAATGCAGATTTTATGCAACATACAAGACTGTTTAGATGTACAAATGAAAAGGGCTATTTTTCTGTGTCTGAAAAAACTGTTGATTTTTGTCAGGTTTCTTTTAATTTTTTTTAGTTCTGATTTTAATTCTGATTTTAGAAATTAGAATTCTAATTTATAAAATTTGTTCTGATTTTTAAAATCAGAATTAAAACCAGTTCTGATTACAATTCTGATTTCAAAAAATTATTCTGATTTTAATTCTGGTTTTATTCTGATTTTTAAAATCAGAATTCTGATTTTAGAAAATTCTGATTTTTTATTCTGGTTTTTAAAATTATTCTGATTATAATTCTGATTTTAAAAATTAATTCTGATTAGGATTCTGAATTAAATTCTGGTTTCTAAAATCAGAATTCTTATTTTACCGGAATTAGAATCACAATTCCAATTTCAAAATTCTGAAATTTTAGAAATTAATTTTTTAGGAGGATCTTGAAAATGATGACGTTATGATTGTGGATGATGGCAATTTTGTTTATATATGGCTGGGAACTGGTATAAACATTTTGTTTAATTTTTTTCTGATTTTTTTCTGGTTTCTTGACCACAATCCTAGTTTTTCTGGTCCGGGTTGTTTCTGATTTTTAAATCATACGGGGTTTTTTTCTGTTCTGATTTTCTTATCCAACTTCAGATTTCTGTAAACCATAATTCTGATTTTTCTGGTCCGGCCAATTCTGATTTTTGCTCTGATTTTTTCTGTTCTGATTTTCTGAAATTAATTCTGGTTCCCCTGGTACCTAATTCTGATCCTAATTCTGATTTTTATTCCCAACTTCTGAAATTAATTCTGATTTTTTTCTATTCTGATTTTCTTGTCAAAATTCTGATATCTGGTTTTTGAGCCATAATTCTGATTTTTCTGGTCCTCCCAATTCTGATTTTTTGTTGTGATTTTTCTAAAATTAATTCTGGTCCCTCTGATACTTAATTCTGATTTATATTCTCATCTTCTGAAATTATTTCTGATTTTTTTCTGTTCTGGTTCTCTTGTCAAAATTCTGATATTTATTCTGAATTCTGATTTTTCCCCTTGTATAAATTTAAAAAAATTAATTTATTTTAAAGGTGCCAGCGAGGTTGAAATAAAATTGGCCTATAAAGCAGCTCAAGTTTATTGTGGACATATACAAATGAAACAGCCTGAAAGGCCTAGAAAATTGGTTTTTTTTTAAAAATTTTTTTTAATTTAAAAATAAAAAAATTTTTCAAGTTATTGTCAATAAAGGATCACGAATCTAAACGGTTTTCTCGACTTTTCCATGGATGGGGAAAACACAAAATTCCTGCTGGGACTGAAGGAAAATGAAGAAAAGATGAAGAAAGGATGGGTATTTTTAAAAAAATTAAAGGGTACTGATTAGTTATCCTTATGAAATTTTTGCGGATTTTTTTTGCGGACAAAAAAATTTTTTGCGGATTTTTTTTGCGGACAAAAAAATTTTTGCGGATATTTTTTTGCGGACAAAAAAATTTTTTGCGGATTTTTTTTTGCGGACAAAAAAATTTTTTGCGGATTTTTTTTTGCGGACAAAAAAATTTTTGCAGACATTTTCAGCAGCTGACATTTTCAATCAATAAAATATGGGAAAGAATTTGTCCGCAAAAGAAAATCCGCAAAAATTTGTCTATTAATTTTTGAGACTTTTTTAAAATTATCTCTTTACCAATAATATTCTACTAATCATCCATAACATAGCCTTAATTTTTAATTTTCTTGCCTTTTTTAATAGAAAAATTTTTGATGAAATAAATTTAATTTTTTCTGTAAATATTTAAAAACTTTTGGACAAAAATAAAAATATATATTTTTAAAAAAAATAAAATTTTTAAGAATTAACCAATATTTGCGGACAGAAATTTTTTTGCGGACAAAATTTTGCGGACAAAATTTTGCGGATTATTGATAAGTGTCTGCAAATATTTGTCCGCAAATTTCTAAAAAAAAATAAAAATTTAGAGAATGTGACCTCCACATGAATTTTACCTAGTAAATCACATTCTTTTCTCTCATTACCATTTTCCTTTTAAAGGTAAAAATAGTAAGAAGTTAAAAGATTATAAAAAAATATGCACAAACACTAACTTACACACAACTAATTATTAATTTATCAACCCCCTTCGTTCCTCTCTCCCTCCTTTTCCAATTTATCAATCCCCAGTCCTTCCCCCTATTTTTTGCTCACCCTCCTCCCCTCTGCTTCATGATAGGTATTTTGTTCTTTGTGTGCTTGCTACCTTTACTACTACTATTTTTAAAAATAACCAAAGATCTTCTTTCTCTCTTTAAAAATAAATTAATAATAATTATTTTGCAGATAATTGAGCAAATAAATATATTTGAAGGTTTTTTCCCACAACAGCGCGCCCCACCTCCATTATTTTTGACCTATTTATTTAGCTCTTCATTCTATTAATTTTTAAAGATTATTTCTTTTAACAACGACAAATTTACATTAATAAAATGATTTTGTAAATGCAAGCCTTCCAAAAAAATATTTTTGGGGAGGTAGCGACATTTCGTCCCATTTGAAGAAAGTGACAGTTCGTCCCACACTCAATTTTTTGTTTTTTTATTCGAGAAAGCTAACAATAAGCTTCTTCTAGTTTCTTTCCTAGCTGATCGAGAGAAAGCAAAGCGGCGATTTGTGTCCTCTACTCAAGAGTCCACCTTTCTAGTTATCTTTTTGTGTGATTTTTTGTTGACCACACAGAAAGCTCCTCAAATCCTTTTTATTTTTTCCTCTAAACTAAAATAAAAAAATGATTTATTTATCTATTCCCAAAAAATTCCCATAATTAAATACCCTTAAAAAATTTTTTGAATCATTTTTAAAGAAATAAAGATGAGGATAAATCTGTTTGGATTAATTAGAGGTAGATTTATTTTATTAGTGGGACAAACTGGTATATTTTCTTCGGTTGGGCGAAGTGTAAGGTCTGTTAGTTTAGGTGTTTTGTTTAGATATTTTGAAAAGTTGGACTTTCTTTTTCTGTGTTGACTAGAGAAAGAGAATTAGAGTGGGGGGACAAACTGGTATATTTTCTTCTGTTGGACGAAGTGTAAGATTTGCTACTTAGGTGTTTTGAAATTTTGGACTTTCTTTTTCTGTACTGACTAGAGAAAGAGAGTTAGAGAAATAGACAAAGTGGCGTATTTTCTTCTATTGGACGAAGTGTAGTTAGGTGTTTCGTTTAGATATTTTGTATTTTTGGCGCCTTTTATTTCTTTACTTTTTGTGTTAATTAGAGAATGATAGAAATAAAGAGTATAAGAAAGGCGGAGATCGTTATTTTTCGCAGTTAACAAATTTTCTTTTCTCATTTTTTAGATTAATTTAAATTTTCTTATTAGTTTTTTCTATTAATTCCTCTAAAATGGCACAAAAGAAGGTGACTATTATTGGATCTGGGAATTGGGGTTCAGCTATTGCACGGTTTCTTTCTGATAATATCTTTAAACCTTTAGTTTTTAGAATCATCGGCAACACAGTTGTTCAGCACAGCACCACATTCCAAACGCGAGTGCCGATGTGGGTGTTCGAAGAGGTCTGCTTTCTAGTTTATTTAAGATGTCTACACTAAAGATCGGGGTTTTCAAAAAATCTGGGTCTTAAGCTTCTAATCTGGTGTCTTGGTCAAATCCTAGTTTTGGAGTCAGCAGGAACCAATGGCTCGGGAAAAACTCTGCAAACTTAACTGAAATACGCGGGTCTGAGGGATCAACTTACAGTTAGACACGAAAACTAGGAGCTGAGCCGATCTTTTGTTAGGGGCTCCCCTTTAATTAAGTAAAAAAATGTTTTCCATTGGTGGGGTTCGAACCTTCGACCCTTATTTTTGCGAACCAAAAAGTATCCGACTGAACCAAGAAGTCCATTTCCTTTATTTTTAATTTCTCATGTGATTTTTATTTTTTTCTCTTAAGATGGTGGATGACAAAAAGCTTAGCGAAATTATCAACACTGAACATATCAACGTTAAGTATCTGCCTGGAAAGGTTTTTTCATTTCTAAGAAAGTTCAAATAAATGTTTTAAAATTTAGAAGTTGCCAGAAAACATAGTTGCTGTTCCTGATCTTCTTGAAGCTACAAAGGTTGTTTTTGATAATTGTGGGCTACCTTAAACCACTTTTTGAGAACAAATTTATTCGAGCTGATAATGGTCACCAGTTTTTGAAATCAAGTCGAGCTGATAAAGGGCAGATATGAAAAGGAAGCAAAATCATTCCAACTGCCGAATGTCCGGAAAGTGTTCCTAAGATTTCCACAAAAACATCCCCTAGAAATGTCCGCAAAACTTATCCGCAACTTTTGTCCGCAAAAACTTATCCGCAAGAAATGTCAGCAACTTTTTTTGAATACATTGAATATCTGCAAAGTATACATATATGTTCTGACCATTATGAGACCTTTATGATGACGAGATTATGAGTTCGTATAAATATGTCCACAAAAACTGGTTTGAGGTAGTCCACTAGTTCCGAGATTTTCAGTTTACCGAGGGACTTTTTTTAATCTTTAGGATGCTGATATTCTCGTATTTGTCGTTCCCCACCAATTTGTTGAGAAGCTTTGTAATCAATTGAAAGGAAACGTCAAAAGCAGCGCTGTAGCAGTCTCTTTAATAAAAGGACTTTCTGGCAAGTCTACAAGCTCAAAACTTCGTTTAATCTCTGAGGACATTAGTGAAACTCTGGGTATTGATGCTGCGGTTCTGATGGGGGCGAATCTGGCACCTGAAGTGGCTAATGATAATGTGAGGTTTTTTAGATATTCAAGGGGTTTTTTTGAGATTTGGACGGAAAAGAGATTTTCCTCGTTAGTTTTATTTTTTGTTAACCTTAAGTTATTTCGTCCATTATTTTCCTCTAGTCAGAATAAAAATGCCTATAAGGGATAGCTACAGAAAATGACTCGTAATGATGAGGCTACAAATATTTTTTAACTTTGTAGCCTCATTTGATCCTTTCTAGGGTTGAATTTTGCGATATTTTTAACAAATAAAAATTGTTTTTCGAACCCATAACCCCTCTTTTCTCGTGATTTTCCAACTTAACCAAAATTATGAATTTTGTAAATGGCTTGGAATGTGAGGGATTTTGGGGTTTAAAAATTTATTTTGACCATTTTTAGTTAAGCTTGAGATTATATGTTTATATATTTAAAAATGGTTTCTACTGGACGGGTTTGAACCCACAACCCCTTTTAATGGGATCCAAACATTTTCCAACTTAACCAAGGGCACGATTTTTAGTAAAAAGACCTGAAATATGAGAGATTTTAGTTTTTTTAAAATTTATTTTGCAAAAAATTCATTTAAAAAATTTTTTAGTTCTGTGAGGCAACAATTGGCAGCAAAAATCTCGCTACAGCAATCGAACTCAAAAAGCTTTTCCATACAGACAATTTCCGTATTAATATTGTTCAAGACTTTCAAACTGTAGAAATTTGTGGGGCTTTGAAGGTTTATTTTAACTTTAGTTTTTTCGTTGATTTTATTTTTTAAATTAGAATGTTGTTGCGTGTGCTGCAGGTTTTTCTGATGGATTGGGATATGGAGACAATACAAAGGTTAATTATCTTTTCTCAAGTTTTTGTTTATTGAGTGGGGTTCGGGATTACGCTACTTGTTTTTGAAAAAAAGTTTCAGAACGACGGGTCTAGATTCAGGTCATTTCTGCCTCGAAATTTCGATTTTTGAGGGAGTTTTCGGTAATAGTTAAGTTTGTGTTTCCCCTTTTTTACTTTCGGCTGTAGTGTAGTGTACCGAGGTAAAAGTTCGGGATATGACATATGTTATTCGATTGGTCTCGACGAGTTGAGTCGAACGGTACCACTCCCAATTTAAGGAAATGATTCTGGACCGAGTTATAGGTCCCGACATATTGAAAAACCATGGGGGAGTAAGGTCGATTTTGGTATAATATAACTCGGTCCAGACGTCCCAAACTTTTATCTCGGTACACTACATTTCAGCGAAACAAAAAAGGGGAAACACAAACTTAACTACTACCGGGTTTTCTAATTATTTTTTTGTGTTTTTTCTTC